TCTGCATTTTATGATTTTTCTACAAATTAAATTCTCTGATGGTTTAAATCCCTGTGAGTTATCTGGCCTTAAAGACAAAGCTGCCATCAACGACTCCTCTGCGCTCACTGCACCTGAGAGCTTTTTGGAAGAGTTCTGTATTATCCTTGAGAAACCGAGCCCTGGCTGGAAGCTTTCCTGTATGAAGTATAAGGTCCTCTCTGGGATGAGATCCCACTCTTAAGTCAGGTGTATGCTTTGAGTTACATGACTTTGAGCTTGTTCTTCTTCTATGAGATATTCATTGTTAGGACTCTGATGTTCAAAGGGGCCAGCAGGGAGAGGCCCGCTGAGCAGGAATTTCAGACCCACAATAAGGGTCTCTTACCCACCCAGTGAGGGACCCCCAGGTCGGGGGCCCCAGTGAAGTCACAGACCAGAGCCCTCAGCAGGAGAGCTTTGAGGGGCTGTCCCCCTGCTCCCCCCCTCCTCCAGCCTGGCCTCTGCTTGCTCAGAGCCAGTCTTCTGATGGAGGATTCGTGAGCAGGGGGCAAGCTTAGAAGTCAAACAGACCTGGGCCCAAGGCTGGGCCTTACTGTTTACTGGCTGGGTGACCTCATTTCTCCTAGCCTCTGTTTCCTGCCCCATAGAGCACAGACAGCAATAAAACATACCTCTCATGAGGTTTATGAGGATTGAATGAGATGACGCGTGCTAACTGCCCAGCGCACAGTAACGGCCCGGTTCTAGGGAAGGGTGCTTGCCCGTTCACTGTCTACAGGCTGAGCCCTCCCCCAGGGCTCACACTCCCTCTGCCACCCGCTGCCACCCGCTCCTTCCAGGCGGCAGAAACCACCGCTGGCCTGGGCAATCCTTCGTGCCCTCTGCTTCTCCCAGAGTCACTTGGCTCCCTCATTCTCCTTTGCACTATCTGGACTTCTATGACCACATCTCAGTTAAACAAAAAACACTTAGAATCAACGTCTTATGTTAGGAACCCTGTCAAGCAACAGGGGGAAAAAAGTGTAACACAGCTTGCCTGCTATAGCTCATGTTTGTATTTTTAAATTTTTATTTATTGGTTCGAGAGAGAGAACGATTTGCTGCTCCACTTATTTGTTGACCCTTTTATGTATGTGCCCTGACCGGGGATCAAACCCACAGCCTGCACGTGAAGGGATGACACTCTGACGGACTGAACTGCCCAGCCAGGGCCCAGCTCATGTTTCTTAATGCAGAGAACTCACTCCCAACCTAGCAGTCACTACTTCAGAGACCGTTCTAACAAAGCTCACACTGGCAGCAGGAGTGCTGCCACACACGGGCACTTGCCTATAGCAGCGAGGAGAACTCTGGGACCTCCGTCACAGCAGAAGGAAAGAGGAGGAGAGGTGGCGGTGGGAGGGGCGGGGAGGAGAGGAAGGGCCGGACAGAGGGGACGGCTGATCTGAATATTATTCACCAGTTAAAAGGAATGAAGTACTGATTCACACTTCAATATAAATGAACCTTGAAAACTTGATGCCACCTGAAAGAATCCAGTCACAGAAGGCCACATTGTATTTTTTTCTTTAATTGACATGAAACGGTCAGAATAGACAAATTCATACAGATGACGACAGGCAAGTGGCCGTTAGGGCTGGGGACAAAATGGGAGTTGGGAGTAATGAAATTGTTATAAAGCTGATTGCCACAACGGCCTCACAACTCTGAAAATATAATGAGAACCAGTGTGTGGACACTATTTTTTAAAAAGTCCAAAAAGTTTGAGGTCTTGCATTGAAGGACAGTAACCCTCAGGAAGGTGTGATTGGGGCAGGGGATGCCTAGGAGGTCCCCAAGATGCTTTCAGGGGGTCTGTAAGGTGGGAACTACTGTCATGTAGTACTGAGGCCTCCGGTGGCTTTCCACCCTCGTGGTCTCACCAGCATCCAATGGCGTTTCCAGAGGCTGCGTGCTGCGTGATGATGTGGTAGCTCTGAAGGCTCATGGGCTGTGTGCCTGTGCATTGTTGTGCCTTAAAGTTTTCTCTGTCTTAATTCTTAGCACAGGTAATGTTGATAGATATAATCCACATAAAACAAAAGCTCTTTGGGGTCCTCAACGATTTTTAAAAGTGTGAAGTTCTCCTGAGGCTAAGAAGTTTGTAAACCCCTGGCAGAAGGATAAAGAGCCGCTGCCCCCACAGCCCTGACATTCCTGCAGACAGCAGAGCCGTGTCCTGGATATCCAAACACGAACCCTGCCTGCAGGCCCCAGGAGAGCTCCGTGCTGGTCTGCGGTGCCTCCTCTGTGAGCGATTACGTGCACGCGCGCAGGAAGTCAGAGAATGCCCACTGGAACAATATTTTATTCCATTTCTAGTTCTCCAAGGGGCATACAGTTACTGCTCAGGAAGTATTTTGGAATTGAGTTACTGAATTTTTTGGACTGTAAGATGCACCAGACCAGAAGATGCACCTACGTTTTAGAGGAGGAAAATAGGGAAAAAATTTTTGGAGCAAAAAATGTGGTAAAATATTTAATAACATAAACAACATAGGCTGCCACCTCCCCCCCCCCCCGCCCGCACAGCAAGCCAGGTAAGCTGTATTCGGACTAGAAGACGCACCCCCATTTCCTCCCAAATTTGGGTGGTGCATCTTGTAATCCGAAAAATATGGTAACTGACTTTTGGTGTGTCTGTTGAGGGTGCTGGAGGGGTTTGTGATTCCATTTGAAAACATTTCCTTCACAACAGCTGAGATGATTTTAAATGATTTCCTACTTCAAAGAGAGACTCCCCCCACCCGCCCCAGAAGCCTCCATCATGGGGCATTGAAAGGGCACGGGCCCTGGAGGCAGCACGGCCTCTGGCCCCTTTCACTCAGGATCGGAGGTGCGGGTGCCCCTTGCAGTTACGTGACTCAGCAGCTCTAGGAATCTCACAAACTTGAACTCAGCCTGGCTCCTCCTCTTTCAAGCCGTGCCACCATCCCATAGCTACTCTATCTCTGGAACATAGGTCTCCTGATAGGACCTGCTCACAGATGTGGGGACAGAATGCGACATTGCCCGGGAAGTCCTGACCTCAGTGCGCCGAGGCAGAGAGAGCTCACGAGGTGGTAGCTGTCAGCCTCCCGCTCATTTCCAACAAATTCGAGGCGATGATAAAGACTGCCACAGAGAGAGGCAACGTCACATTCTCCCAGCAAGTAGCACTCTCTAACCTAAGATTTCTATTTTTTAAAAAGTCCTTCCGTGGTCACTTGTTTGTTCCCTCTTTCCTCAAACCCATAGAGAACACCCCCACCAGGCAGGCCCCAGACTAGATGCTAAGGAAGCTGAGATTCACTGTGCCGTCTATACTTGTTAGAGCCTTGGAGGCTGCGGAGGGGGACAGACGCTCACAGGGATCCACACAGCATAGACCAGCGCACTAGACACTATGATGACCGTAAACGGCTGACTTGGCATGAGCATTTACTACGTATGGGGCAAGGCACTACTCATGCACGGCATAATTCATCTTCACAGTGACCATAAGAGGCAGGTGCTGTTATTACCCCCATTAACAGAGGAGGAAACTGAGTCACAGGCTAAGTAACTTGACAAAGGTCCCACAGCTAATGAATGATGGAGCCTGCACTTGAACGTAGGTAGTCTGGCTCCCGGGCCAGTTCTCTTGTGCAGGATGTTATAGCCCCTCTTACCCGTCGGACCCTGTGGCGGTGGGTCAGAGTCTCACCATCTCTTCAGGAGGGCCCAGGGTGGGGAGAAGCCCGTGGAGCTGAGAGTCAGGAGCCTAGAATGAAAGTCCTGGCCCTTCTGCTTGCATCTATGTGATTCAAGCAGGTTACTTCATCTTCTCTGAGTCTTGGTTCCTTCATCTGCAAAGCGAGGGCAATCATGGAGCCTACCCCGAAACTTGTAGGTAGGACTGTATAAAATACTGCTGGGCAACACGGTGCTTTGGGCAAAGAAATGGAGCGAGGTACCAGGTCAAGGCTGTGCTGGCCGAGTGGCCCTGGGGAAGTTATTTAACTGCTCTCTGAGCCTTAGTTTCATCCTCCAGATAATGGAGATAATAAAACGTTTGATGTGAGATTTAAATAAGACTACAAGTATGAAAGAACTTAGCACAGCTCAGCACAGGTTAGCTTTTATTATTTTGCACAAGGGATGGGAGAGTTGCAAATCAGGACAATGCTACTACTGTAATGAGGCTGGTCTTCAGCTCTAAGGCAAACCAAGTTCTTGTGACTGTTCGGAACAGGGAGACATCAATGACATCATGGCTTTGGCACACTCCAGCTTTTAAAGGATCCTATGCTCTAGGATTCTGCAACCCCATGTGGTCTCAACCAGCAGCAGCAGCAGCAGCTGGGAACCTGTCAGAAATGCACTTTCAGGTTCCACCCCAGACCTCCTGAGTCAGAATCTGCACTTTGACAAGATCCCCCAGCTAGCTCCCATATACATACACTCAAGTTTGAAAAGCACTGGTGTAGCATGGAAAGAAAGAATGGTAATGACAGTTGTGGGCCTGGGATGGGAAGGGTTAATGTGCAGTTTGGCTCCTGCCAAGGCACCGGAAACAGAAGTTTTCAGAGATTGAAGTGTATGAACTGATGGGACAGGAAGGCTCCCTTCCTGCCTGTGTCCAGGATGGCCAGGGGCTGCAGCCCGGGACCTGCACTGAGCCCCGAGCTGTGGTGAGGAAGGACCCCTGGGTCTGGAAAGCAGAGGGCATGCCGGGACAAGGGGAGGCCTGAGTGCCTCTTCTCGAGCTATATTAGTCCTCAGTCTAAGGCCATATGAGGTCTGAGGCAGAGCGGAGGAGCCCAGAGGAATGTCACAGTTAACTGAGAGGGTTCTCCCAAGGGAGGCTGGGAAGCCAGCTCTGGGACAGCTGTGTGAAGCCTCCGAGGCCTCCCCGTTGCTCCCAGCCCTACCCTCTGTCCCCTGCTTCCCTGACCTCTCGGGGGTGGGAGCAGGGCCGGCATCCCGGACGCAGAGTCGTGACCATGCTTCCTCCTCAGTGCTGGAGCAGCTGCTCCCCGAGCTCACGGGGCTGCTCAGCCTCCTGGACCACGAGTACCTCAGCGACAAAACCCTGGAGAAGAAGATGGCCGTGGCCTCCATCCTGCAGAGCCTGCAGCCTCTCCCAGGTCAGACACCAGCGCTCCGCCCAGACCTCCTCCAGAACCTTTGCTGACTCCCCAGGGCCTGCTGGCAAGAGGAAGCCCAGGCCTTGTGGCACAGCATTCAACACTCTGCGTGGTCTGGCCGATGTCCTCATCCACTCAGCCCTTCTCCACACAACCCCGCCCATGCTCTTTGTGCTGCTCCATCCTCAACCCACCACAAATCCCCCCACACAAGGCACATGCCACACATATGTACATACCACATGCACACCACATTCTCACATACACCTCACATGCACAGCACATCCATGACAAACTTGCATTACACAGGACATACACTGTGTGCACACAACATACTCTCACCAACAGCACATGCTCACATGTACAGCACACATGACACAACATATCTCTCACAGTCCACATGCTGTCACACACAACATACATATACACAGAGCACATACACATCACACACTCCTATACCCAGACACACACTCACACCCACGGCCCCGCATCACATCCATTCCCCTCCCTCTACTTCCCGCAGCTCCTCTGCCTCACTGTCTCCCAGCAGCAAGGCCGCCTCACCTGCCCCAGCCTTTCTCTGCACCCCAGGTCAGCCCATGAGGTGATGCGTGTAAACCAAGAGCCCAGTGAACTCTAATGAGCTGTACCCACGTCCCACACTATTGGAGGGGTCTGAGTGACATGGTGGGAAGTCTCTACTGGATGACTCACTGAGCCTTACTTCCCAGTGACAAAGCAGGTCAATGTCCTTGGCTGCCCGCATGGGACTGGGAGGAGGACAGGGGCAGTGTTTTGCTGAGCTTGCTGGAGCCCCTGTCCTCTGGCCAGCTCCAGAGCAGCCCCTGTGTTCTGCTTTCTGTACTGGGCTCTGGGCACCCTTTCACTGGGAGGAGATCCTCAGTAACAACGTAAAAATGAAAACAAAGTTTGAAAACCAAGGATATCATTTCGGTCATGCACATGCTTTGCAAACGATGCTGTGTCCTGTGTGGGACAGAAGTCCAAGGGGGGCAGAGGAGACCCAGCCCCTCCGCACAGTCAGGAGACCCAGCCCCCTCCCTTCTCACCGCAGAGATGTGACAAAAATGTTCTCCTTCCTCGCAGCAAAGGAAGTCTCCTACCTGTATGTGAACACAGCCGACCTCCACTCCGGACCCAGCTTCGTGGAGTCCCTCTTTGAAGAATTTGGTGAGTAACCGTCTCCCCACCTCAGGCTGTGGAAGTGTCCTGGACTGTGCAGGGAAATACCTGCACCTGGGCCTGGCTCCAACCTTACAAAAGTAATCAATTAAGCAAGTTCCTGGGCCTCTCTGGGCCTTACCAGGTCTGAACGTCTAGTCAGATCTGTACAGTTGTAGGAAATCATCCCTAAAATTTGAGGAAAGGAAGGTATGAACATGCAGGCCCAAGAAGGTATGGCACGTAGGGTGCTGTCTTGCCTGCTTCTCCACACTCATCAGCAGTGGCCGCCTGGGCCCTGGGTTGAGCAGCGCGGTGGCACCACGGGCATGGGCGCAGCTGAGCCGGGCTGCGTGCCGGGTGTGTGCAGTGCCGGTTCTGTCTCCAGGGAAGACAGCACTCCTCGACACAGGGAGGGAGCTGCGGGTTGGGTGAGAGACTTTCAGGGGCCAACAGACTTAGGGAAAACACTGTGCTTCCATGACATAACCCCTACACATCCCCAGAGCACTGCACCAGACGTAATTTCATCGGATCCTCTCCATAACCCTGCAAGATAGACAAGGCCAGGTTACAGCTGAGAAGACCAGGTCTCAGAGGAAGGAAGCCATTGCTCATTAGGGCTACTACCCAAGTGGGTGGCGGAGGCCTGCTGACCCCAATCCTGCCCTCTTCCTGCTCTGCCACGCTCATCCTCGGCTTTCTCTGCCCAATGGCCTGACGCATCATAGACTGTGACCTGAGTGACCTTCGGGACATGCCGGAGGACGATGGTGAACCCAGCAAAGGAAATAGCCCTGAGCCAGCCAAGAGCCCGTCTCTGAAACATGTGAGTCATGGACAAGCTTCCCACACCTCAGGCCCTTTATTCCTCTGGAGGGGGCAAGGAAAGCTCTCCCCCCGATGCTGGGGTGCTCCTGGGTGTGCAGGACCGTTCTCTCTTCTGTGCGGTAGTTAAGGCCAGAAACTGCACCATGGAACATTTCAGTGACTCATGCTCACTGTGCCCCTGCAGAGCAGGCATAATGGTGAACGAACCTGTCCCCACCCAAAGGACGTCCCCACCCAAACTTGTGCTTGCAGTAGTACAGGTGGGGTCATAGGGAAAGCTCTGGACCAGGAGTCTGGTGGCCTCTGCCCTCTTCCCTACTGCTGTGTGGCCTTGGGCAAATCACCCCTTCTCTCTGAGCCTAGAGGTTTTTTTACCCATAAAATGAAGGTTTAGATCATATTTAGGGTTCCTAGCCTTGGAGCCAAAGAATTAGGGCAAGGGACCCATAATCACATCAAGCACTGTCTGTCGACTGCATAATTCACTGTCATCAGCACCAACAGTACCAACTGTCGACCACTTGTTATGTCCTTTCCATGCTTGCAGCAACTGAGTGAGGTTGTTAGTATCATTATCCTTATTTTACAGGTAAGGAAACTGAGGCTCAGAGAGAGTGAGTGACATGTCAATGTCCCACCACTGGAAGGTAATACAGTATAGTTGTAAGCCAGGGTTCCCTGGCCCAGGAGCCTAAGCTCTTGGCCACGAGGTGATACCACCTTACTAAATTACATGTCTCACACTTGTCCTGCTGTTCCTCCTATGTATGCAGAGATGGTTGTAGGGTTTTGCAGAACTCTCAGTAGCTTTTGATAATTCTGCACATGCTCATTCAAGTGTTTAACTCCTCCTCTGTGGCAGTCTACAAAACTTTTAGACATTACAGAAGAGCCCTGAGGCTTAAGTAATTTGGATAAGAAACACAGGACCAACCAAATAAACTCAAGGTTTCCCAGCTCTGCCCTTCTGCAAGTCTATTACACGTTATGGCTCCAGTCAGATCCTGCCCTCTAGCCGCTCCTGCCTCCCTGTCCCCAGCCTCCTTCCTGTCACTCTGCTGCTCCCCTCTGCTCCCCTGGCCTTCTTAGTCTCACACACACCCCTCTTTGCCCTCCAGGCGGCGGACCTGCCTCCACCGCTCCCCAACAGGCCTCCACCCGAGGACTACTATGAGGAGGCCCTTCCCCTGGGGCCAGGCAAGTCCCCTGAGTACATCAGCTCTCACAGTAAGTTCTGGTCGCCCTGGGAGTCAAGGGCAAGGAGGAGGCGGCTCCTCCTGAAGCTCCAAGCCCGGCCCTCCCCCAGTCATGCCCACCTCCTGAGGAGGGGCTACCTGAGCACCAGGCCCGTTCAGTGACGTCCTGGATGCAGGGTCAGTGTGTGCGACCCCGGGGGTCAGGAGTTCGGGCTCCAGTACCAGTTCTGTGTGGCCTTGGACAAGCCCCTTCACCGCTCTGGGCCTCTGTTCCCCTGCCCTAAGTAGGAAAGAGGGGCCAGATAACACACATGTAAATGCGCCAAGATGGAGGTACACAGGTCGCCAGTAGGACATGGTTCCTAGCACTGAAGCTGGTACTAACCCGAGTGCTCCTCTTCTGTGGACTGGGGAAATAATGTATGTTTCCGGAGAGTCACATCTTACAGATGGATTGGGTTGTCAAGTTAAGGCATACGATAAAAAAGCACATGGTCGAAATCAGAAGTCTTCAGAGTAGAGTGTGGGCACCCCAGGGGGTTTATGAGATGATGTAGGCAGATGTAGTAGATGCTCTATTTATGTTTAGATCAATACATCTTTTTAAAATGTCTGCATGAATGTTATAGTATTTATAATCTAATAATAGCATGATGCTTGTATTTAGTTTATATATAATTGTGTATATATAATACAAACATAATTATATATACATATGTAATTTATACACATAAGTAACACAAGTGTATTTCATGATTATATTTTTCCTGATAGGTGAGCACAATAAAATAATTTAGAGGTACACATTACCTCTGAAAAATCTCTTAAACTGGCCACAAAGGAGAGTGTTTAGTTCTGACTTGTCCCTCAGGTGGTCCCCTCCAGTGCTGTAAGAGGCGGCCGTTCCTCTGAGGATCAGACCAGGCACTGGCTTGGGTGTGGGACTTAGCGCTCCACACGAGAAAGCACAGGGTGGTTCCGGATGGCCCAGCAGGGCGACTGACTCGCACACGGTGACACTGGAGCACTGCTGTCCTGTCACCCATCCGCGCGCTGGAGTGCTTCCCAGCCACAGAGAAGGAAAGAGAAGAGGTCCTCTGTGCTGATCAGAAGTGAACTCCAAGATACATTCATTGGAAAAAATCGAACGCAGCATATGACATGACTCCACTTATTTTTTAACAGGACACATGCAATACATTCATTTTAACAATTTTTCTAGGATATGCAAGAAACTCTTAACAGTACTATACTGTGGGGAATGAAGAAAAATCTAGATGGGGGAATGTATATTCCCAAATTGTTTTGTGCTGATTGTGCTTTATACCACGGGTGTGTGTGTGTGTGTGTGTGTGTGTGTGTGTATTTATAGTAAAGTACAGGTAATATAACATTTACCATGTCGGCCGCTTTGAAGTGTCCACCCAGTGGCATTTAGCACACTCACAATGCTGTCGGCCATCAGCACCACCTAGCTCTCAGATGTCCCCATCACCCCAGAAGAAGACCCGTACCCGCTAAGCAGTCACTCCCTACTCCCCTCTCCCCCAAGCCCCTGCCAACCACCAATCTGCTTTCTGTCTCCTTGGTTTTGCCTTTCTGGACACTCCACATAACAGAATCATACAACATGTGGCCTTCTGATTGTGGCTTATTTCACTCAGCATGTTTTCAACGTCCATCCATGTCATTGCATGTATCAGTACTTCTTTCCTTTTTGTGACCAAATAATATTCCACATTTGGTTTGTCCCCTCATCAGCTGGCTGGTGGACATTTGGGTTGTTTCCACCTTTGGCTACTATGGCATACTATTTTTATAATTACCAAACTAGTTAAAAGAGAGTGAAACGGCGAGGTCGGACCAGGTGACCGGTGGCTCTCTTCGTCTCTCCTGTCACCGTGAGCAGCTGTTTGTGTGCGGAGCACGTGACTTTATTTTATCCACTGGAGAAGCGGGGAGGAAGAAGGGAGCGAAGCGCTGCTGGGCCCTGACTGCCAGGGCAGCCCGCAGCTGGGTGAGGCTGCTCTGCCTCCCCAGAGAGCTCCCGCCCCTCCCACCTGGGGCAGAGAAGCCGCCTCGGCACGGCATGCAGTGGGGATGCTGGGGCAGCAGGGAAGGGAGGGCCTCAGGAAGGGCCAGCGACCTTGTCCAGGGAGAGAGCGCCAAGCCCATTAGGGAGTATCCTTCCTCTCGCACACAGCGTCCAGCCCTGGCAGGTGTCCTAGCACTTTGGCCAGGGTGTCCCCTCCCTCTTCTCCAGCACGCCTCCTCCTCCCCCACCCCCACCCCTCTGGTCCTGACTCCCCCAGGCCACCTCACAGCGCATGTCACTCTGAAGCCTCCGAATGCCGGCTGGGAAAGGCAGGCCCCGAGCCTCACTTGGACTTGGGCGATACAACTGGATGTCCCCAGCGCTGAGGATCTGAGCACGTCCGTCCTCCGGAAACAGAGGGGCAGCAGGGTCTGGGAGCCCAGAGCGGTGCTCTGAGGAACAGTGGGCATGAGAGCGAGCGGACTGCGTGAAGGAAGGCTTCCTGACTGAGGGGTGTGCCTCTATCCCTTAGGCTGGCAACCCCCGTTCTCATCCAGGGTCTGTCACTAGCAAACGTGTGTGGCTCAGTTTCCTCATCTGTAAAATGGGCACTGGTGAACTGCAGTGTGGGACCCGGTGGAGACAAGGATAATGATAGCTGGCCTTTTTCGAGCACACTGTGTCATGCCCTGTGCTGAGAGTGGACATGCATTGTATCACTAAGCCATGATGGGACGGTTCATGTCACCTTAAGGTGAAGCACCTGAGACACAGAGAAACTGTTACCTGTCCAGGGTCACTCAGTGAACGGTGGAGATAGATTTAAACTCAAATCCGGTCAATCCCGAAGCACATGCCCTTAACCCGCAGAACTTCAGGGTGTGTTCCAGAGACTGTCTACATCAAAATAATGTTTAAAAACTCACTCCAATATACATATTTTCTATTTTTACATGTGTTTTTAAATGTCCTATTAGGTAGTTAGGTTTTCTTTAAATGCAGATTCCTCAACTGAATCCACACCAGTGAATCAGAATTTCTAGGGATACAGCCCAAGGATCTGCATTTTAAAAAGATGCCTGGTAACTCTGAAACAACACATTTGAGGTAGCCCAACCCCTTATGGTGCTGCAGCCCCTGAGTGGGACTGTGTCGTGGAAACTCGGCCCAGGCAGCTGCTGCACTCACTTTTATGTGCATCATCGTCACCTCCAGTCCGTTTGCCCCTCTGAAGTCGCAGAGGCTTAGGGGGAGAACTGCTGGGACAAAAGGAGGGGGTGTGTTCGGGAGTGAGCAGAGGGGCCGAGGTGGCAGAGGAGGCAGAAGCAGAACAGGGAGGGGGTCTGGGACACCACTCAGTGCATACAGGGACCCACCAGTGCTCTGGGGTCCTTGAGGAGGGGCTGCCCACTCTCTGCCAGCAAAGGTCGGAGAAAAAATCTCTGAGCTGGGTCTTGAAGGGTGAGTAGGCGTCCTCTGGGGGAAAAGAAGAGGGCACAGCAGGCATCACGAGCAAGGCCTGGAGGTGTGGCAGGGCCCACCAGGGCAGTGCCTGTGACAGGAGCACAGAGGGCATGTGGGGAGCGACAGTAGACGAGGCACATTCAGGAAGCCCCACAGCCTGGCCTGCCACTCCCCCTTCCCTGCGGGGACTGGTGCCCAGGGTCTGGCCCCTGCACTCTGCCTGCATTTCTCCGAAGTTCATCTCTTTCTGCCAACCCCACAGATGGCTGCAGCCCAGCCCAGTCCACCGTGGACGCCTACTACGAGGACGCGGACAGCAGCTACCCCTCGACCAAGATGAACGGAGAGCTGAAGAACTCCTGTAAGTTCCAGGCAGGCCTTCAGCGGGGTTCTGTCCCCTTGACCTGGCCCTTGACGTGCATGTGCCTATCACCCCCTGGACCTCCCTCGGGCCACCAGGGAGGACCCAAAGCCCTTGTCCTCAGTGGCCTCAAGATTCAGTGGAAAGATCACTGGCACAGGAGTCAGGGTCCCCCATGGGGCCCTTGCCCTGACTCTGGTGACTGCCCTTAGACTAGCTACCTGGTTCTTTTTGAGCCTCTGGTGTCCTCATGTCTATGATGGGGACTTGCTGGAGTGCCACCAGAATGACCTGAGACAGCAGATGCGGAGATCGTGGGGTAGTGACCATCTAATGGTTACTGAGCACTCGCTGAGTGCTAGGCCCTTAGCTAAACTCTCCACCTTCACTGAATCTCACAACAGCCCGATCTGGTGGATACTATGCTGCTATTGCTCGTGAGGGCCGTTTTACTGAGGAGGAAACTGTAGCTCTGAAGAGTAAAGTCACCAAGGTCACAAAGCTAGTGGTGAACGCAAAACACAGTGCCATGTGGGGGTTTAGTCGTTACCATGGTCACAGCTCACACCCACCCCTCATGGTCCCGGGGCCCCAGAGCAGGGATGCCCGTGGAGGGGCCAGGGGGGCCTCCCAGCTGATGGCACAGTGGCAGGTCCTTTCCCGTGGCACCTGCAGACAATGACTCTGACGCAATGAGCAGCTCCTACGAGTCCTATGACGAGGAGGAGGAAGAAGGAAAGGGGCTGCAGCCCACGCACCAGTGGCCCTCCGAGGAGGCCTCTATGCACCTGGTGAGGGACTGCAGGATATGTGCCTTCCTGCTGCGGAAAAAGCGCTTTGGGCAGTGGGCCAAGCAGCTGACCGTCATCAGGGAGGACCAGCTCCTGGTGAGTGGGCGCGGACGTGTTCCTCTCGGCCTCACGTAGGCGTCTGTGTGTGTCTGTGTGTGTCTGTGTGTGGGCGGGCATGTCTGCCATGGTTACTCTGGGCTTGTGAACAGGGACTCAAAGCCCGGCGCTTTGAAGATTGGAGCAGAAGTTTTAAAAAAAACAAAAACCTCAGAAGACTTGCCATGGACTTTACCAAGAGTCTGTTTTGCCAGAGACACATTTTATTTTTACACTTTAAAATAATGGTTATTGTTTTTCATTATGCAACTAAAGTGTTTATTTATAAAATAGAGCAAAACAAAATGAAGACATGATTTTTTAAAACACCACCTATAATCCCATTGACCAAGAGCTACCCACTGTTAATTTTTTTTTTTTTTTGAGGATACATTTACCGAAGCTGAGACAGTGAAACAAGGGAGGGCCTAGGACAGAAAAGCATCGGGAGAGAGCCTGGGCAGGGCTCCGCTTTGGCTGTCTAGGGCTGCTGTCGGCTCACTGGAGTCAGAGAAAAGGGGCCTTGGAGACAGGTTCAGGGGTCAGGGGTCAGCCCAGGATGAGCTGCTGCCGCCCACAGCTCCCCTGGGTACAAGTCTTGTGGGGCCCTTAAGAGTTTAGGAGAAAGAAAATTCACTCAAAAAAGAAATTCAAGCAGGCATGCCCCAAGGAGGTTATGCCTGTTAAGTTTCAACAGACATATTTCCACCCGCATTTTCACATACATCAGTCTTTTCCAAAACCGAGCCCAAAGCAGCCCTTACTTTCTTAAAAGTTCTTTTTAGTTTGCCATCTCTCATCACTATTATTTCATAAAAGAAACTGTACCTTTAATTGCAAAGTAGAAGAATGGGCATAACTTCAGAAAAAAATAGTTCTTTACCCAAAAGTCTGTTGACAAGACTTGCCTCACATGTATTCTTTTGAAACACGACCTTTCTCATCCTGGAGCAGTGAAACGCTAACCCTAGCCCAGAAACAGTCCAGTGTCCTGACTTACTCCTTCCATTCTGTACACCCTCTGTTTTTCTTGACTTATTGCACTGCCTAGGAATTCTAGCACAATGCAAAAACAAATGGTGAGAGTGGGCATCCTTGTCTCCGTCCAGATCTCAAAGGAAAGTTTCAGTAATTTACCACCAAGACTGGTATTTGTTATGGGTTGTTTGTAGATGTTTCTTATTATCACATAAAGGAAATTCCCTTACATTCATAGTTTTGGAGCTTATGTTATAAATAGGTGCAGAATTTGATCAAATACTATTCCTCCTTGTATTGAGATAAAGAGTTTGCCTCCTTTTTTCTGTTAGTATGACGAATGGTATGGTTGGTTTCTGAATGTTAGCCACTCGTGCATTCCTAGAATAAACCCTGCTTGGTCTTGATCCAGTGTGCTTTTTATATGTATATGAATTTCATTTGCTAATATTTTGCTTAGGGCTTTTGCAACGCTTTATGAGAGAAATTAGCCTATAAATTTCCTTTTGTAAAATCATTGCCAGGTTCTGGTACCCAGGTAATGCTGGCCTCATAATAAGAATTGGGAAGTGAGAATCATTGTTGATAAACTGTTGACTTCCCAAATCCAACCCTCTATCTCTGCTAGAATTCTCTCTCCCACATTCCTACCATGTAGCCCATTAGTAGTAGGGAGCTGACTTCCTCACAAGTCAGCCTATTTCTTCCCTTTAGAAAAGTTCTTTACACCAGAAGTGATCTTCCTAGACTAGAATATCATTTCTTAACAGGTAGCTGTGCCCCCTGGGGCCCCTCAGTAGCCCCCTAAATCTGAAGATTGCCGAGAGATACCCCCTCTCCTCTGGGGTGAACAGCCACGGCCCCTGTTTTCATGCAGTGCCCACAGTGAGCTGGGTGGGGGAGGTCTCTGTGGGGTCGAGCTCCTCCGAGCCTTTGTGCAAGGGTGTCTTCCTCCTCCACCCTCCACTCCAGGAAGCCCTGACCTCTTCTCTTCCTGCCCAGTGTTATAAAAGCTCCAAGGACCGGCAGCCACATCTGAGGCTGACACTGGACACCTGCAATGTCATCTATGTGCCCAAGGACAGCCGGCACAAGAGGCATGAACTGCGCTTTTCCCAGGGGACTACTGAGGTCTTGGTGCTTGCACTGCAGAGCCGGGAGCAGGCCGAGGAGTGGCTGAAGGTACGGGGCCTTTGCCCTCCACCCTCCTGCCCTCCCTTCCTTCCTCTCTTTCCAGGGAACAGCCCTCAGCGGGGTGGGCTGCAGTCCCTGGGAGAACAGGCTTTGCTCGACTGAGGGGTCAACACCTGTCCATGGCCAGGGCTCAGGTGTGCAAATGGGCCTCGGACAGCCCCAGGAGACAGGCCTCAGGGTGAAGGCCTGTGTTTCTTATTATTTGAATCCCCTCCCTAACATCCCTACTGTGGGCTTGTCCAGCCTGCACTTATATACCTCCTGGAATGGGGAGCTTAATGCCTACAAAGGAAGCTGATTTTATCATTAGATAAGCTAATCCTCTTTTTTCTTTTAAAAAAAGGAAAAATCCTTGTTTGTCTCATGTGAAATGTGCATCCTTATAACATCCCCTGTGGTCCAGCTTCTGCATCTTGTAGCTACACAGAACTATTAGAGGTATCATGCACTGGCCACTTACTTTGAGTCATGCATTGTGCTAAGAGCTTTACATACATGACCTCATTTACTTTTCACAACAGGTCTATTATTGTTTCCATTTTACAGATGAGAAAACTGAGGCACAGAGAACTTACATGACTTGCCAAAGGCCACTCAACCAAGTGGCTGGGGCCAGGATTAGAAGCTAACAAGAAAATCCACACCAAAGGCCGTGGGCCGGGTGTAACAGTGATGACAAGGCAGGTCTTGGGTGAAGCACAAACTTGAGTTCAAGTCGCAGGCCTAAGTGGCTATGTGATTGATCTTCTACAGATGACTTCGCCTCCGTTTCCTCCTCCATCTACTGGTCCTTGTAAGAATTCTAGAGAACACTCATAGTGCCTGCCAGGCAGTAAACGCTTAGTAATTGTCAGGGATTACTGTGCAATAATGGGGAAGGCCACACCCCCAGGGCCTTTCCACCGCCCTCCAGCCCTACATGCTGCCTTCATCCACTCTGACACCTTTCTTTCTCCAACTCTGATCTTCCTGCTGGGACCAGAAACCAAACCCCTCCCTCCCCACCCTCCTTTCCTTCCTGTGATAACCAGCTCTCCCACTGGAATGCTGAGAGTCTCCTGTTACTGCCTTTGTCTCAGGAAGGAAAGGAACCTGAGGGGAGAACCTGACTGCTCTCAGAGCCTCTGCCCTTAAGGGGCAGGGTGTGTCAGAGGAAGAAGCCCTGGAAGCAGAGTTAAGAGGCTGTCTTAACATCTGGTTCCCGGAGGCCATTAGCCCAAAGGTTCAGGGAGGCAACTACGGCTCCTTCTCTTGGAGCCTCCTCATCCTAATCAGTAACTTAGGGACCACAGTTGTCCCTGCCCCACAGGGCTGCTGTAGGGATACAAAGGTGACCACTGTTATTTCTTGATTTGGATGCTGATTCTGTGTGGCCTTAGATGAGTAAGTATTATATTTTGCCATGTATAATGTATACTTTTTTTGCCCAAATTTTTGAGGGAGAAGTAAGGATGTACATTATACATGGATATAATATTACATATCAGGGGTATAGTAATGGGTCTAATAATCCTGAGTATAATGTGCACAAAATGTGGGCGCATGCTACACGCAGCAAAATCCAGTAAGTGCCTTAGAGTCCCAGTTTCCATGTCTCTGAAATGGAAGCAGTAGCCGTGGCTGCCCCACGAGCTGTTACAAGTGCTCAACACAGTCAACAGGAGCAAGTCCCTTGCCCTGTGCAGGGCATCCCGGTTCCTATGGCCCTGCTTCTCACTGGTCTCCAGACAACCCAATGAGGTTATAACCCCAGTTACAGATGGGAAATTGAGGCCCAGAGCGGACAAGTGGCTTTCCTCAAGGACACACAAATAATTAGCAATGGAGCGAGGTCTAGAAGCCAAGCCTCTTGGTTCCCAGCCCCTCATCTCTTCAATTCAAGGGGCAGATAGAGGAGAAAGCCTCTGTAAAGCCCGATGTGCCCCACATGTGTGACAGCAGGCCCCATCAGCCTCTCTCTTCCATCCAGTGGTCCCACTCCTCTGCTCAGTGGCCCTGACCACACAGAACCCTTCTTCCTTCTGCTTCTGCAGCACCCCTGCCCCCTGCCCACAGCTGTGCGTTCTCTTCACAGGTCATCCGAGAGGTGAGCAAGCCCATCGCCGGGGCCGACGGGGCAGACGTGCCCAGATCCCCAGTCCTCCCGTGCAGACTGGACCTGGACAAGGTACTCTATCTCCACGAGGTCTCCTCTGGGGCCGGCAGTGGGCACTTGGCACAGGCTCTCCCGTGGGGGCGCTCTGGCGCTGGTGGTGAACCAGGCACCCACAGTGGTGGTGTACAAGCCATGAGTGCCCAGCACAGAGCTGGCAAACAGTAAGCGGAAGCAAAGGATAGGAAGGGTGGGGACCGTGCCCCGTGTGCTGGAGAAGAAGCCCAACTCTATCCTCACCTAGCCTTTGCTGTTAGCTTTAGCCATGGACGGTGTGAGAGAAAGCATGTGTGTGCGCACACCTGCAGGTACGTACTACTGTGGTGCCGTTCAGAGGTGCTTGTAGAGATGAGCTCTCCTGTGGTTGTGTGTACAGGGGAGGGTAGCTAACATGTTTAGGGCGGTACTTTTGGAGGACAGTGGGGGTGGGGATGTGGCGTTGGTAGGTCTGTCTCTCCATGGAGTCATGTGACTGAAGTGCCACAAAATCATGAAGTCAATTCCAAAGGGCTCACAGTGTTTCTCTCTTGATGAAAAGCTTGCCATCCAAACAGAACCATAACTTCTGTTTCACAGTTTACGGGGCTGGCTCTTTATACCTTTGCCCGTCTATCCCATATCTGGCATTTGCCAGGTTTCCAGCCTTTGGAAATTGAGGGGAGCACACGGCCTCTCCTGTCCTCCCAACACCCCAGTACTATGTTTACAGGGAAGCATCCCTGAGCCTGGTCTGCAGGTCCTTGGCAGGAAAGACAGAGGGGCTGCCGAGCTCTGTGACCCCACCTGGTGGGTGGGTGTCATGTCATCCTGTCCTGAGTCTGGCCAGCACAGTTTAGTGTCCTAAGTGAGATGGCAGCACACTGTGCAGGTGCTAGAAATGACAGTCCGCAGTTTCACTTGGGCTCCTGGCGCCTCCCAGCAGCCCAGTCAAAAGAGTGTAATTGGGTGAGAAAACTGAGACTTGGGAGATGAAAGGATTTCTCCACATTCCCACAGCTAACAGGTGGTACTGGAGACATCGCTTCTTCCAAGGTCCATCTGATTACTCTGCACCACATCCCACTGTACCTAGCAGGCACTTAATTGACCTGTTGTGACTTTTCAAAATGCCACTTCATCTCTTTCTCCATCCCCACTGTCATTTTGGTTCATCCTGTTACCCAGTCTCATCTTGCCCAGGATGACCCTCTGTTAAGTAGCTCTTGAGCTCCTAGTTTTGCTCACTCTTGTCCATCCCCCATGATGCCACTGGAACCAACTTGCTAATCTGGTTGCATTATATTAATATCCCCCTTAAATATCTTCCCAGCTCCCTGTTACCTGATCCGAACACCTAGGACATTTATCTCAATGTGTTATAATTCATTGCTTTGCTCCCCAAATAGACTGTGAACATCTCAAAGATACAACCATCCTAAGTTATCACTGTCCCCTGACCCCATACCTGGTGTAGTATGAAGTACAAGATAGTTGCTAACAAATATTTGTTAACTAATCCTCACGTGCCGGGGTTGGGGGGAGACTGAACTAACAAAGGGGACCTCTGATATGGGGCTGTCTGTGTCCCTTCCCAGAGGTTGTCCCAAGAGAAGCAGACCTCAGACTCCGACAGCCTGGGCATGGGCGACAACTGTTCCACCCTTGGCCGCCGAGAGGCATGTGAACACGGTAGGAGCCTATGGGCGATCGAGCAGACGATGCCAGAGCTGGGAGGGGTCTTGCCCCAGGCATGCAGTGCAGAGCAGGTCGTGACCACTCTGGAGACCTGGGTGAGGTGACCTGACCTGTCCACATCTGGAGCTGTGGGCCAGGCCCTTGTGTATAGGCTGAAAGGGACTCTGGGAAGGCTAGGGGTGGGCAGACCTGGGACTTAGGGCTCCCTCCCCGCTCTGACACATGTCTGCAGCAACAGGCAAAGGGAAGAAGAGCAGCCTGGCAGAGCTGAAGGGTTCCATGAGCAGGGCCGCAGGCCGCAAGATCACCCGCATCATCAGCTTCTCCAAGAGGAAGGCGCTGGCCGATGACCTGCAGGCGTCCTCCACGGAAGAGGAGGTTCCCTGCTGTGGTGGGTACTGGGCGTGCCAAGGAGAATTCAGGCCCTGTGAACACGGGCCGCTGAGCCCAGGCCAGGACACCCTCCAGGCCTCATCCTCCTTGCCCCCAGGACAGAGGGGAGAATGCTCCCCGTGGATAGCTAACCCCCACCCCATCGGCAATCCACGTCCTTCCACCACTCCTGTCCCCGAGAGGCCCTGATGCTCAGCAGAAAGATAAGCCAGCTGACTCCCATATTTCTGTGCTACCTGTGACCCTAGTTCACATCACTACCTGTTTCTGGGCCTCAGTTTCCTCCACTCTGATGAGAGTATCTTATTTCCCAGCATAGAACATGCCAGATGTGTAAATTACCACCCAGACTTATAAGGAAATTTCTTGGAAAAAATATTTAAGTACTTTTGATTATAAGTGCATTCAATTTGAGTTAAAAATGGTTTGAGAGGGAAAACATATTATTTTGTTCATTTAAATGCAGTGTTCCATATGCTGGAATTCAATAGAAAATCATGTATTTTAGACATACAGTAGTATTCTAACCCTGAAAGAATATTACAGAAATATTTTGTAAACAGTGAATAAGGTCATATTATGGTAAAAATAAATTTAAATCTAAAATGCTAACAGGGAATTCCAAACCCATTGGTCATCGGACTGTACCTGCCCCGTTTAACAATTCTTTACCTTGGTTAGATGTTTCTATTCCCACATGCTGCCACCAGGTGTCAGCATCACCCATTACTTTCTGTCCTCAACGTTTGGATAACTTGTAGAAAGGGAGAGCTGCGTCTTTTGTGTATTGCACATAGCAGACCCTGCTCTTTTCATCAACTTGGCACGACCCCAAGGCTGAGTGGAAATGTGCACATGTGATAATCAGCCCCGTTTCACAGACGGAAACTGGAACTCAGAGAGAGAAGAGGATGCCTGAGATCACAGGCTGGGAGGGAGCTGCTCCGGAGGCCTTCTTCTGGCTAGAGGACAAGGGCCGCCCAGGCGCTGTGTCCCTGGGGTCTAGACCCCATGCATGCCCCACCGTGGGTTTCCTGGTGGCGGGGCTGTGGGAGGTCACACCGCTGGTCTCCCGTCCCAGGGCATCTGAATGTGCTGGTGAACCACGGCTGGAAGGAGCGCTGGTGCCGCCTGAAACACAACACTCTGTATTTCCACAAGGACCGCACAGACCTTCGGACCCACGTGAATGCCATTGCCCTCCGAGGCTGTGAGGTGGTCCCGGGCTTTGGGCCCAGACACCCATTTGCCTTCAGGATCCTGCGAAACCGGCAGGAGGTGGCCATCTTGGAGGTGAGAGGAGAGAATCCAGGCGGCCCTGGGTAGTGGGAGCTGAAGGGAGCACTGGCCTGGATGCTGGCTTCTGCCTTGGGGGCCTTGCTACTGACCATGTGGGGGCTGAGGAAGAAAGGAAGGAAGCCGGCTGCTGCCAAGTGGTCAAGCAGAGTTGCCAGTTAAAGTGCAGAAGACCCACTTACATCTGAATTTCAGATAGACAACAGACGTTTTTAATACGATAATCCATGCAACATTGGGGACATTACAGAAAAAACATTATCGACTGTCTCTGAACTTTGGATTTAACAAAGCATTCTACTTCTTATTTGCAAAATCTAGCCACCCTAGAACCAAGGTTTCTTTTTGCTCCCTTATCTTAAAATCCCAAGTCTGAACCCAGACTTGGTTCTTCAATCTGCTCTAAAGCCTTCCCACCAGGGTTCCTCCACCTCCCATAAACCACTGCCCTTCCGGTAGCCTGCCCCTCCTACCAAGCAACGCAAATTTTTAGATTTTCTCAATATTGAGTTGAAATCTTTAAGCTTGATAAAGCAGTAACCACACCTGTTCTGCATACTTTTGTTTTTCCAGAACCCAGCATGATGCCCAGCACAGACTAAGGGCCCAATTAATATTTGTTGGACAATATTTGTTGAAAACGTGATTTCATTTCCCCCATTCATTGTCAGCCCTACCCAGTGGCACAAGCCTTCCTCGCTGAAGTCAGCCAGACCAACTGAATCCCTCTTCTATGTGTCAGTCCTTTGCCTGTTTAGACTTAAAATGTTAGCAGTGGAGGAAAATGTAAATAACTAGCCCCCCACATTACAGATAAGGAAACTGAGCCCAGGGCAGCCAAGTGCTTTGTCCAAGGCTCCAGACAAGGCCAGTGGCCTCCTGCTCTTACCCCAGAACTAACACCCAGCCTTCTGGTCTTGCTTTCTTTGCCCAGGACCTACCGCCTCTCTTCAATTTCAAGAAATACCACCTTAGTAGCTCACTCTAATTTTTGATATTTTGAGATGGGTCTCTTGTTTCTCTTCAGTTGCACATGGAGCTCTCTGGCAGAAAGAGTACTTTCTTTATTCACAGTTAGCATTTGAGGTCTACGCTGAGTTTATAATAATGCTCTTTAAATGAGAACTAACATAAGTATGCATTTAGTTGGCCAGCAATTTCTTGAAGATCTTCCTGTAAATAATTGGCAATTATAATACGAGAAAAATGTGACTGTGTTATGTGAGAAGTAGTCTCCTCTAATAAAAAGTAAATGTGTTTAAAGACACATTTCAGGGAAGCCCTGAACATTGTTTTCACATCAAAATGGTCGGGAAGGCTCTGAGGAGAGTGAGCAGAGACCTGAACGGAGAGACGGTGGGAGCTGCTTGGACTTCTGGATGTGTGCTGTAAACTTGTTCTCCTTGGAGCCCTAAGTACTGGGTGCATCACAGGCTCCATACAGATATGGCGTTGGCCCAAGTGAGAGGTAGCCGGAGGCCCTGACAGTGCCACAGTGAACTCAGCTTGTGCCTCTCTCCCTCAGGCAAGCTGCTCAGAGGACATGGGCCGCTGGCTCGGGCTGCTGCTGGTGGAGACGGGCTCCAAAGTCACCCCCGAGGCGCTGCACTATGACTACGTGGACGTGGAGACCTTGACCAGCATTGTCAGTGCAGGGCGCAACTCCTTCCTGTAAGAGTCGGCATCCCGAGGCCCGCGTCTACCACGGACATTTCCCATCTCGGCTCCCTCTCAGAGGCTCTGTGTCCAGCCTGGGGCACTGGGAGGGAAGGCTGAGGAGGGCTCTGGTGCCTTGGGAAGTAGGCAGGAGTGAGCTGGTTAAAGGAGGGAGTCCAGGGTCAGGGAAAGCTGTGGATGAAATGAGCAAAAATGGAGAAGCCCTTTTTTATAATGACATGGGCTCTGCTCTGATGCCACAAAGCCTTGGGTTCTCACAACCTTGAGCGTCTGGGTGGGCAGGCACGGGGCTGGTATGTAGAGTTCTGCACTAGAAGAACCAGGTTCAACTCAGCTCTATCACAACCAACAGTTTGGCTGGTTGCATGCCAGCTTGGATCCTCTGTTTCCTCACTTCTGTAGTGCAGGCATTCCTTCTGGAATGCCCATTACCTGTTTCCTGGGTTGTTGTGAGAAGCACATGGGTCCCTGCCCATAAAGCCTTTAACACAGCAATGTCCCAGTGCTGCTGGCAGTGGTTGCTATGACTAACCTTCCAATATCCATTGTGAGCAGCTGCCAGAATCGAATGAGAGAGTAGACAGGCAAGCACTGCAAGCTGCAAGGTGTCATCGACATCATACCTTGTATTTTCTAGATATGCAAGATCGTGCCAGGACCAATGGCCAGAGCCCCGTGTCTATGATGATGTCCCTTATGAAAAGATGCAGGTACGATACCTTGGGGCTGCCCAGGAACATGGCAAAACCCACTTCTTTTTTTTTTAAGACTTTATTTATTTATTTTTAGAGAGGGAAGAGAGGGAGAAAGAGAGAGAGAGAGAAACATCAATGTGCGGTTGCTGGGGGTCGTGGCCTGCAACCCAGGAATGTACCCTGGCTGGGAATCGAACCTGCGACACTTTGGTTCGCAAGCCCGCGCTCAATCCACTGAGCTACGCCAGCCAGCAAAGCCCACTTCTTGGCTCTCCCTGTCTCTTTCCCTATTACAGTCATGTGCCACTTGATGCCAGGGACACATTCTGAGCAATGTATCGTTAGGGGATGTCAACCTTGTGCGAGCGCCACACAGTGTGCACGCTTACACAAACCTAGGTGGTCCAGCTACTGCACGCCGAGGCTACATGGTGCAGGCTGCTGTTCCTAGGCTACAAGCCTGTGTAGCATGTTACTGTGCAAAACAAAGGAAAATCAGATGAAACACAAGAGAAAATGATGTAATCGAGAGACGAGGCAAACACAAGATGTATAAGGCTACAGATGTAACACAGTATACTATTTTACAGCACACTTTTTCTTGTAAGTAGGAAGAGAACACCCTAAAATAACAATTAAAAGTACAGTAAATACATAACCAGTAACACAGTCATTTGTAACTATCCATTACTATGTACTGGGCATAACTGTATGTGCTATACGTTTATAAGACTGGCAGCAAAGCAGGTTTTTTACACCAGCAGCACCACAAACACGTGAGCAGTGCATCACACTGCAATGTGAAGACAGCTACGATGTCACCAGGCAACAGGGACTTTTCAGCTCCAGTATAATCTTACAGGCCCACCGTTGCATATGCCCTGACAGAAGCATCAGTATGCGGCACATCGCCATACTCCTTTTTCCCTTTGCCTCAGAGAAATCGTTTTCATTTAACCAGCAGCTGATCAGATGCTGGTGGGTGGATCAGACCTGACAGGTAGGTAGGGGAGGGGGGAAATCAAGCTGCCCAGGAAAGCAGCTGCTGCAGGACCCCTGCCTTGGGCAGTGCTAGATGCTACTCCGAGCTCACACCTCTGGGGCTCCCTTTACATGGTCTCTCTTTTACATTGGACTCCTTTTGCATTGGTCTTCAGACACCAATGTACCAGTAGAGGCAGCTCGAGATCTTTCTCAGTTGCAGAGTTTAGTAGCAAGATAGCTTAGTACTTAAGGATGCAGACTTTGGACTCATGGCTCAGTCTGCGTTGCCTTTGGCTTCACCTCTCTGGGCCTCACTTTCAGGCTTCAAATGGATATGATAAAACCTACCTGATTGGACTGTTGCAAGAACTAAGGGAAATGTTTTAAGGAAGGAACTTAGCACAGTGCCTGGACAGGAAGGTCTTATACACAGAAATAAATCACACTGCTATTACTAATATCATTATTATATAAATATCACGTTCTGCTCATGGTTCCTGAGCTTTGACAGAATTTTGAGTGTTCCTAATACTCTTCAGGCACAAATATATTGTCAGTCTAAGTTATATAACTTCTACTGTTGTCTGATCTCATCCACAACCTTTTCTTTTTTAACAATTCAGGAAATTTTAAGGCTGCTTTGAAATGAGGTGAGGACAGACTATATAAGAGAAATTACACATGGTCGCCCACAATCTTTTCAGACTTCTTAACTTTCCTCTCAGCAGACATTACAATTTAGGGTTATCTTCGGCTGCCCCCCACCGCACCTCCACAGCCTGGTGTGAGGATCCAGTGGTATCCTGCTAGTGAAAGTGGTTTATAAGCTGTTGAGTGCTGCACCAGTTTAAAGATGTAAGGCCAGGAACTCAGAGGTCCCCCACCTCACCCACCGAGCACAGACCAGAGCACACCCGTGAGGATGACGCTGAGCCTACCTGCACTTCATCGTCTTCCTTCATCTCCCACCCAGGACGATGAGCTGGAACGGCCCACTGGGGCCCAGGTGAAGCGCCACGCCTCCTCCTGCAGTGAGAAGTCCCATCGCGTGGATCCGCAGGTCAAAGTCAAACGCCATGCCTCCAGTGAGTTCTGTGTGGGAGGAAGGAAGGGAGGGAAGCGGTCCATGAGTGGAGGGCGTCTCAACGTCATATTCCTCCAGGGGTCAGGCAGGCAAATACATGAGTGCAGTGAGATGGAAGAAAAATAACGTCACAAGCACAGAGACTAAGGGCAGCCAGCACGTGGTCTCAGAAGAGAAACAAAGAATGGGGAGGGGTGGGGGAGACTGCAGGAGACTGGCCACACCTCTAGCCGATGCCCCCCATGCAGCACTGCCAGTTATTCAAGAGAGACCAGAAGCCCAGACTCTATATGAAATCTACTCATTTTTTACTACTAGCAACTAATTTTTTAAATTTTAACATTAAATAATGCCAAATATACATACATACATACATACATATTTATGTGCTTATAATAAAGTTCATCCTCAGTTGTGTCTGTTACAGAAGCTAACAATTTATAATTTCTGATCTGGGGTAATTAAGTGGAGAACTGAATTCCTCCAAATGACCTTGAGGCAGCTGCCGCCAAAGGTATGGCTCACCTCTGTGTCCCAGCCTGAGCTCTGCCTAGCACCCCCTTGGGACCCCGTTAATTGCCTGATGGCCACACTACACAATAATGACTGAGTATGCCAGACAACTATATAAGAAATTCTGTTTGATTTCCAACACTAATCTCTGCTCTCATGTGATTTACCTTTATGAGCAAGCCAACTTCCTGTAGGACAGCATGTTTCAAGAGTCTTGTATTTGTCGCTCTACATTTCTTCCCACTGCACCTAAACAAAGTCAAGTTCTACTCTTTCCTTTTTGAAGATTTATTTTTTAAAATAACTTTCTTTATTATAGTTCCATTTTATTAGCATAGATGATCCCTTCTGGAGGTCAGGATACCTGTATTCCTGGTATCACTTGATCACTAAATTACTAGTCTCCCTAGAGAAGTCCCTTCCCCTCTCTGGGTCTGAGTTTTCCTTCTGAACAACTAGAGGGTTACTGTGAAACATTCCTTACACGCTATGCTCCAGACACTGGAAATATAGGGCCTTTTGGAGTGCCCATTTTAAAATGGGAAAGCTAACTGAAAGAAGCATGTACGATTAAAGAAATCACAAAATGTATTTTTTAAAAACCAAACAAAAAGGTAACAAAAACAGACTCATATCTCAAATCAAATCTTATTCTGAAGCCTGGTTATAAGAGATATGAAGGCGGAGCTGCTCTGGTCGGAGCCAGAGGCCCGCTTGGCTTCCCCCCGCCCCACACAGGGCCAGCTGGCCATCCCTGTGGAGTCACAGGGCAGCTGCAAACCACAGATTTAGTCCAACCTTGTTTTTCAGATGAAGAGACTGAAGAACATAAAAGAGAAAGTCTTACACAGGATCATGTATTAATTACTGTTGCTATATAACAAATTACCCAAACTTTAATAGCTCAAAAAATAAGCCTGTATTATGTCACAGTTTCTGTGGGTCAGGAATCCTGGAGCAGCTCAATTCAGTAGCTCTGGCTTGCAGTCTTTGCTGAGGCTGCAGTCAAGAGGTTAGCCAGTCCTCTGAAGCCTTGATGCGCAGGAGGGTCTGCTCCCAAGGTAGCACACTCGCATACCTGGCATGCTGCGCCAGTTGTTGGAAAGAGGCCTCAGTTCCTTGCTGTGGGGACTGCCCGTCCTCATGACAAAACAGCTGGTTTACCCCAGAGCAAGGGGCCCAGTTGGGAGTAACAGAGAAGAAGCTGCAATGTCTCTATAATCTGGCTTTGAAAGTCACACTCTATCGTGTCTGCCATATCCTGACGGTTACACAGGTCAACCCTATCCAGTGTAGGAGAACACTGCAAAAGGACACGAATACTGGAAAGCAAAAACCATCGGGGCCAAGTGGATGGCCGAGAAAGTGGTATTGTGAGAAGCTCCACAGACCTACTCTCCAGCAAAACTGCCAGAACTGGGGGAAGTTACTAATACAAACATCTGAAGGCCCTGGAAAATTCCCAGGGCACACAGCAAACAAAGAAAGGTAGGAACAGTAAGAGCAGCTCCACGAGCACAGCAAACTAAACCAAGCTAGTTCATCAGAGAGATCCAGGGGAAGAGGGAACCAGGGAAGGAGAGAGCTAACCTCAAGACTGACCTCAAAAGACTGGCCCCAAAAACTACACTACAAAGGGGCTGAATTTAATCAGATCAATCCATGGAGCACCTGATACCACTGGAAATCATCAAAAACAGCAGAGCCATCCATTGACCTCACAGCTCGGTTTGATACTGACAGAAGCAGACAGCGAGATCAGGAAGAGAATCAGAGCCCATCAAGACCCCTGTCCTCACAGGGTGGCTGTACACGTGCCCAACGATGTACCCCTGAGGAGCAGCGTCAGGGGCACTACAGGGGAAAGGGGCTTCCCCGAACAAGCCATGTGAGTCACCGAACAAGCTACCTGGGGGCGGGGAGGTCAGTATGCAGAGATGCCACAAGACAGTACCTAAAATGTCTAATTTGAAAATAAAAAATATGAAACATCCAAAGGAACAGGAAAGAGTGACCTATACAGAGGGAAAAAAAGAATGAAGGGAAACGAACAGAGCCTCAAGGAAAGGAACCCCATCGGCGCACTAGCATATGTATAACGGACGTATCAGGAAGGGAGGAGAGAAAGGAGTGTAAAAAAGTATTAAATATTGGCTGAAAACATGCCAAATTTATTGAAAAGCATCATTTACATACCTAGCATACCAGTGAAGTGCAAGTAAAATAAAAGCAAAGAGGTCTATGAATGTCACATCATGGCCAAAATACTAAAGCCTAAGACAAGGAGGAAACCTTGAACGCAGAAGAGAACATCGATTTGTCACTTACAAAGGATCCCCAGTAAGATTAACAGCTGACTTATCAGAAACAACCGAGGCTTTCCTCTTAAGATCACCTGGAATGTTCTTCAGCAATAACAAGGAACGCAGTACCGACATATGCTACATTAGTGCAACAGTTACATTAGCAACTTGGACCCTAAACATTCCTTTGTCTCCCCTCTACTGTGGAAGCCCAGATTTTTCTGGCAGGTACTTGGGCAGTTCTCACCCACACTGTGAGGCCCACTGAACTATAGCTCCTTACTGCAGCCTGGCTTCCTTCTTCACCACCGTCCGAGTGACTCAAGTGTCACAGTGGGAGTGTGACATAAGCTGCTCTCCGTGGTGCTAACACATGATGGCAAACCAGGGCAGTGGCTCCCCACAGTGAGGGCACTCGCTGGTTCAGACCCTAAGAACGTCTTCACTCACCAGCAGTGGAATGACAAACATAAGCACAATGTGTGAAGGTTTTCCTAAAGCTAAACCTATTCAATGTCAATGACTACTTTATTCTGCATTTGTGTCCTTTCCAACTCTGGGGGTATACTATCATCTGGGGATGATAGTATTTATTTTATAAATTATTGGGAATAATTAGATGGTAGTTGAGCTTTTTAAAGACCTTATCTGATACATTAACAACCCTTGGGTTGGTCTACCCATTTTCTAAAATTTGACCAGTCTATAAAATTCAAAAGCCTGGGAGCCAACTCCCCTGAGGTGCCATGTATACCTGGGAAGTTGGAGGATGTATGGTCCCCCTTCTCTGCTCCCCCTCCATGCTTTACTTATCATCTGGCTTGAACTGCAGGGTAGTTGTGGCAGGTACTGAGTTTTACATGAGTCACTGGGTAGCCACTGCCATTTCTACAAGAACTGGAGAGACAAGACCCACACATCTGTAAATCATGGGAATCACTCCACACACACCCAGCTTACAAAGGACTATGTGTAGCTGTCTGTGGCAACAAAATAAATAACACTTTCCCTGAAAGGTTGGACTATGGCCTTGCCCCAGCTAGAGCAGTATTGCACGGCACAGACCCTGGAGTCAGGCGGACACAGGCTCAAACCCAGGCTCTGCCATCACTAGCAGTGCCTGTTTCCTCAACAATAAAATAGAGCCAGTAATAGTAAAGATTTTGTGAAAATTAAGTGGAAATGCATATAAATGGCCTGGCATATAGTAAATACTCAATAAATTTTTGCTATAATTATTTGTTGTTTTAGTCCATCAGCATAGTGTAGAGCCCACAGTAGACTACTAAATCCCTCTCTGCCCCCATCCATTTCCCAGGAATAAAATGGGTAGTGCCTGGCCCTGGCCAGGTGTCTCTGTTGGTTAGAGCATCATCCTGATTCACCAAGGTTGCAGACTCAGTCCCTGGTCAGGGCACATGTAAGAATCAACCAATGGAAAAAAAAAAAGAAAGAAAGAAAAGAATCAACCAATAAATACATAAATAAGTGGAACCACAAATTGATGTCTCTCTCTCTTCCCCCCTCAAAAATCAATAAGCAAAAATAGACCTTTAAAAAATGGGCGCCCTGGCTGGCATAGCTCAGTGGATTGAGTGCGGGCTGGGAACCAAAGTGTCCCAGGTTCGATTCCCAGCCGGGGTACATTCCTGGGTTGCAGGCCATAAGCCCCAGCAACCGCACATTGATGTTTCTCTCTATCTCTCTCTCTCTCCCCCTCTCCCTCCATTCCCTCCCTAAAAATAAATAAATAAAATCTTAAAAAAAAAAAATGGGCAATACCTGACTTTAGCCCAAAGTATGAATTCTCTACAGATCTGAGCTATGTATTCCTGTCTCTGTGTCTTATGTATACCTGAGAGTTAACTACAAAACACACCCTTTTAAAACCAAGGTGGGTTACACATCACAAAATTTGTTTTACATTATCATCATCATCATCATCATCATCGTCATCATCTAACCTTTACTAAGCACTTACTATTTTCCAGATACTACAGTAAGTACTTTTCACGAACTACCTCATTTAAAACCAACCACAATGCTGAGAGTGATCAATATCCACATTTACAAATGAGGAAACTAGGGCCAAGGGCGAAGGCACAAAAACACCACCATTCACTTCTGCCTGATGTCACACGACTAGTAAAGGGCAAGAGAGAACACAGACCTCTGTCCATCTGACCCTGAAGCCCTTCTCCTCATCCCTGTGCTCTGCTACCTCCCTTTTGCTCCTCGTTTCCTTAGAGGAGCCACACTAAATACACCTGGGGCTTAGATCTAAATAGTCCCATTGTGTAGATGGAGATGTTAAGGCTGAGAGAGAAGCTAACACTACCCAAGCACCCTTATCGGAGGTCAGGACTGAGGGCCTTTTCCTCACATCTCCTCAGGCGCCAATCAATACAAGTATGGTAAGAACCGAGCTGAGGAGGATGCCCGGAGGTACTTGGTAGAAAAGGAGAAGCTGGAGAAAGAGAAGGAGACGATCCGGACAGAGCTGATGGCACTGCGGCAGGAAAAGAGGGAGCTGAAGGATGCCCTTCGGAACAGCCCAGGTACCTGCATGGGTATGGCCCTGAGGGCTCTTGGGAGGCTCAGCCTCGACACTTCCCTAGCACAGACCACCCGGGGTCTAACCCAGGACAGATGAGCTTCTTCCCATTGTCTTCCTCATTGTCACCACCACCACCTTCATCATCATCATCACACCTATTGACTAATAGAAGTGCCATCTATTTAATAATTGCTTTGGGGTAAAGGGATGAAAAAGCATCACAAAAATGTGTACATTTAATGTGGTGAGGTGTAATCTAATTTTAGAAATGTGAAAATGTGAAAAACAGAGTGTGCCTTAGAATAAAAGAAAAAATCATTTTGAACCTCACATTAACTCATTCATTCACAGGTGCTGGGCACCTGACTGTGTGAAACATTGGTCCAGGTGCTGGGAACTATGAACAGTAACAATTTGCCAGGATCTTCTTCCGAAATCCAGGGCCGTGACCTCCATAGGTGCTGCCAGCTCTGGGCTCCTCTGAATCCCAATTTCTACTGTTTCCTCTTAATTCTCTCTGTAGCTACAATTCAGCTCACTTTCAGTACTGTGTGAGATGTTGGTCCAGGCGCCTGGAACAGTGGACAGTGCCTGGTACACAGCAAGCTCTCAATAAGTGTTTACTGAATGGACAATTATATGAATGAAAAGAACCCGTCACTACCAGAAACACCCCTAGTGCTTGTCTCAGGGCAAATCATGAAGCTAAGTTTTAAACCTGGTAAGGGCCAACATAGATAGTTCTGGGCACAAGGAATGTTCTAATACAGGTTTGTTCAGTTAGCCTTGAGTAAACAGCAAAATCCTAGTAGGAACCCTTGGTTAATATTATGACTCTTGGTTACAGGTAGCAGAAACCAAAGTTAAACTGGCTTAGAAATTAAAAGAAGAAAACTGCAATTGAAAAATTGAGCTGTCAGGTGTAATGGGGTCCAGGGACTTAAATGATATCACCAGAAAGCACATCCTCTAACTCTTCCCTCTGCCTTCCTCCACCTTGGTTTCGTGTTCTGGCCCTCATGGTGAAAATGGCTGCGCAGCTCCAGCCCTCACCTAATCCTCTCAGCCACCCGGCAGACAGAACTTCTTTCCCATGGCCCCCACAAACACTTTGGGGTTCACTCTGACCACCTTTGATCCCTAAACCAGTCACTGTGACCAGAAAATGAGATATGATCACGGCCCAGGACTAAGTTACATGCCAACCTCTTGAACTAGGAGTGAGGTCAGCCCCATCCAAACTATAAAGAATGAGAGAGGAGAGGTGGCTTCCCAGTGGAAAATCAGGGTTCTGTATCCAGAAGATGGGAAGTGGGTATTGGGAAAGCAAAACCCCAGGCCCAAAGTCCATCTCTTAATCAGGACTGAGGATAGGAAAGGCCCTCCGTGGGGGCAGAGTAGGGGCTGAGGCCCTGCCAAACTGCTGGGTGCTTCAGGCCAGGCTCAGCTATTTTTCATCAATGTCTTTGGCCACAGGAGCAAAGACAAAGGTTCTGGAGGAGGCCGTGGCCACCCTGGAAGCTCAGTGCCGGGCGAAGGAGGAGCACCGGATCGACCTGGAGCTGAGGCTGGTGGCTGTGAAGGAGCGCTTACAGCAGTCTCTGGCAGGCGGCCCGGCCCTGGGACTCTCCGTGAGCAGCAAGAACAAGAGTGGGGTGAGTCCACTCCCTGCTGCACCAGGGGCAGCTGCTCCTTCATGCCCTCACGTGCCACACATCTTAATTGTTCTTAGCAGCTAGGAGTTATGCTCACTTACAGGTGACAAAATAGACCCTAAGGGACATGCTGCTGGTGGCAGAGCTAGGAAGGGGACTCTTGCAGCAAGTTCTCTGGCCTGTGTTCTTTCCACTGACACACCACCAGTTGACTTTGTATCCTGAATGCGGTCTCGGAAGCAGCCTTACTGATAATGATAACTACCATAGGCTGAATAAAAATAACAGACTTGTGTTGATCAATTACCACAGCCCAGTACAGCATCTTAACTGGTATTATCTCACATTGTCTTCACAGCAGTCCTATGAAATAGTAGTATGTGCACTCACCCCATTTAATAGACCAGGGAACTGAGGTTCAGAGGTGTGAAATGTGACCTTGTTCAAGGTCATCAGCTAAGTGGGAGACAGATCCCAAACCCAGGAAGTCCGACTCCAGAGCCCTGTGTAAGCCGCCTTGCACATGCCCTCCTCTGGGGTCCCCAGTGTACCAGGCCCTGTTCTCAGGGCTTTGCATCCATTGTCCAACTTTCCCAGAAACCCTGCAAGGCAGAGACTCTCAGCTTGAATGAGACTTCCTCAGGGAGAACTCTGCTTACCTAAGTTTATGTCAGTGTCTCACCTGCAGCGCTATTGACATTTAGGAATGATAATTGTATTTATAAGGGACTGTAGTGTACACTGTAGGATGTTTAGCAGCATCCCCAGCCACTAACCCCTAGATGCCAGTAGTGCCACGCTCCCAGTTATGACAACCAAAAATGTCTCCAAAAATTGCCAAATGTCATTGGGAAGGCAAAAATTGCCCCCCATTTGGGAACCACTGGTCTAAATTACCAACATTCCCATCCTATCTGTTATTCTTCCACATAGCACTTAACCACAATTTGTGTGGAGAGAGAGAGAGAGATTTCTGTCCTTACTTGTCTAGTGTCTGTCTCTTCAACTAGATAGTAGTATTTATTAAGAATTGGACTATATTTTTTATCATTATAGTGCTAGCCCTTTAAATAGTCTAAAAAATAGTAGGAGTGCAATAAATGTTTGTCAAATGAATAAGTGTTATATTTGCTTTCAGACAAGGAAATTAAGGTTCACAGAAATGAAGTAATTTGTCTGATAAGTATGCATTGTCATTTAATCTCATTGTTGTCCAAGGTCAGCAGCTTCCTGGTCAGACCATACCCTGTAACTGGGAAGCTAGGGCTCTTTCTTACATCCTGCACATCCTTTCCATTGGGGCATGTCCAACCCCATTTGAAAATGAAGAGATTAAGGGCCAGGAACCAAACAACTTTACAGAGTCACAGAGGGCTGGTGGACAAGCCAGAAGTGGTTCATTCATCCCAGCTGCTTCCTCCCACCCGTATGCCCCTGATGTTCACATTTTAGATTTTCCTTCCACTTTTGATCCTTTCCATGCCTTTGGACATAAAGAAAAGTCCTCTCTGAATTCCCTGGAGACTAAGTTATGGATATGTCCCATTTAAGGAACGACATCCAGGGCATCCATTAAGGGCAATCATCTGGAAATTTTAAGGGGTCAGAGCAGTATAGAAAATGGGAAGGGGGAGAGGGTAAGAGATAGGACAGAGAGTTAGGAATCCCAGCTCTCCCACTCACCAGCCATGTGACCTTGAGCAGTGATTTGACCTTCCCATTTTTCTTATCTGTAAAATAAGACAACTAATAGTACCTACTTCATAGGCTTGAAAAGGCTAAATAAGCTAATCCCCCCAGGTCCCAATGCCTAGTACGTAGTGAGGGTTCAGTAATTTCAGCCGTCATTCCAGGGCCCTCCAGTGTCTTCCTCCCCTCACCCTGTTTGCTGCTGGTATGTTTGCATAGTGCCTTCTATTTGCATTCTTTTGAGGGCAGGCTGGGTGTAGGTAGCCAGCACTGGACTTCACCCATGTGATTATTTCTTATCTACAGGAAACTACAAATAAACCCCAGAATAATGCTCCAGAGCAACCTCTCCCTGTCAACTGCGTTTCTGAGCTGAGGAAAAGGAGCCCATCAATTGTAACTTCCAACCAAGGACGGGTGCTGCAAAAAGCCAAGGTACAGCAATAGCTCAGCTAATCAAAATTCAGAGATCGGCCAGCCTCCTTTCTGTGGGAACTCACCAAGAAACAAAAACAGTCAGCTAGTGAGAAAGGCAAAGAATTGCCAATACACAAATGCAATAAAATTCCTGAGCTTTGCTCAGAAGAGAAGACCCTCAAATCTCATTCAGAGCCTATTTAACTTTTTCTTAACACATAGTTCTAACAAGCTGTGGTCTCTGAGCCTACAGTGTGTTTTGAGACAGGAAAGGCACATTCCATAGGTAAGAAAACTGAAGATCAGGAGTAAGGGACTCGCCCAGGGTCACACGGAGCACCATTGTGAGAGTTGCCTTGCAGACCCACCCCTTCCAATTCCAAGTCTAGGGCTTACTCCATGAGACTGGTCCACAGTCCCATCTCTGAAACTCTTGGGGCCAGCTTATTTCAGAACATTTTTGGATTTTAGAAAGGTAATATGGTGCATATACTATATGTGATGAAAAACCCCAACAAGTTCTCAGGAGGTACCCTGTAAGCAAATATGTTAATAGTTCTATAACAAGATACATGAATATTCACACCATGTGGAATAAAGAAATTATAAATAGGTTTTGCCACCACATGAGTTTGTGCCAACAAAACACTTGAGAAAAATTCTCATCTCTGAGCTTACTGGATTTCAGAATTGCAGATAAGAAAGCGAGGACCTAAAAAACAAATACCCGAGCATTAAAGTAACCAGCCAGAAACCAGATCACCTAAACCAGACATCAGCAAATTTCTGATGTGAAGGCCAGACAGTAAATATCTGAGGCTCTGTGGACCACATGGTCTCTCTTTCACACAAGCACTTAGCTGCTATTGTAGCAGGAAAGAAACTATAGATAATATGTAAATGAATGATGAACATGGCTATGTCCCAATAAAACCTTATTTATGGACACAAAGATTTGACTTTCATATAATTTTCACATCATTAAAAAATGGTATTTTTTAACATTTAAAAATGTGAAAACCATTCTCAGCTTATAGGTCATACAAGCCTGGCCCACTAAATGTTTTTGTATAAACATGATCCTTGATTCTTGTAGGCCACTAAAAGAGCTTTGGATTTTGTTCTAGCATAATGGGAAGTCATTGACAAATTTTGAGCAAGGAATTTTTGGATATGAATTACATTTTTAAAAGACCATTCTGGCCACTATGTTGAGAATGGATGAGGGGATGAGAGAGGCCAGTTAGAAACAGAGGAGAAAGGTTTAGTGGAGTTAATATGAAGTGGCTGACTTTGGAGGTAGAGCCAAAGGGTTTGCTGATGAGGATGCGGAGGGTGCAGACAAGAAAGGAATCAAGGATGACTCCTAGGTCACTGACCTGAGCAACTGTGGTTTGGGTGGCAAAGGCTGAGAGAGGAGCAGGCTGGGATTGGAGAATCCTCCCACCAACAATTTTCTAACTACCACATTCTACTTTGGCTTACACCATCACCTCCAGGGCTGGCTAGAAACCCCATGCATCGTATGTAGGTAAACCACCATCCAGTGTTAGTCATGATCTCACTATCCCCTCAGATGAACTCCTAGACAGGCCCTAGAGGAGGAATGGAGCCCTGTGAGATGCCTGCCCTCACTGTTCCTTAATAATCTGCTTTGGCTCCTCCTCCATCAGCCTCCTACCCCACCCCCAGGTCCTGTGGAACAGCACTGGAGCCAGAGGCAGTCCCCACTCCACTCTTCATTCCAGGCCTGTTATCTTGTCTGAGAAAGATGCTTTGTGATATATGAGCCCCCCTCAGAAATAAGACCCAGTGTGGAGAAATGACTTACCCACAGCCGAAGAAAGACAGTAGGACTGGGACCTATGGCTCTCTAGTATGGCCAGTGGACATCTTTATACAACTAGGTGCAATGAAATGTTTTTATCCTACAAGCCATGCTAGACTATTCAACAAACTGCTTTGTCTTATCTTTCTGTACTTCAGGAATGGGAAATGAAGAAGACCTAGAAAGAGGATGAGAGTTTTATCCAAAGGAGATATCAGCTTGCCCATCTAAGGCGGAAATGCTTTCCTCACAAGGCGATATCAGAAGACGAAAGTAGCCCCCACTCTGCGGGGCACCCAAAAGACCAGCCTTTATTGTCTGCATGATTATAGGGGGTATAGGGAGGGAAGAAGTAGAAGGGAAGAGGGGAATGAAGGGCATCGCTATGTAACTTTACAGAGGGTGGAAAATGGGGGTGGAGGGAGACAGAATCTGCACAGTTGTAAGGGTTTTGTTAAATGTCTTTGCCTTCCCTTCTGAAATGAAAGCACATGTGAATAAGCCATTCCATCCCATGCTCGGCATCCCGTTCCCAGTCCTTAGGGCAAAGGAAGGCAGTGCTGAAGCATCAGTGGTGCAATACAGAGAGAAGACTTGACCATCCAATCACACTTGCACCAGTTGGATTTGTGTTGGCATTACTAACAGCCTTTGGGCAAGATAAATAGGCTGAAAAATTAATAGAACTATCCCTGTCTGCATAAAGGTGAACAAAAGCTATAGAAAACATACAAATTCTACAGTCATTCCACATCTGCTTTAGGCAGATGCAGCTACCAGAACTCCAGGTTTGAGTTTTTTTCATATCAGAGATCTGAGTAAGCAGGTGAGGCTAGGTTCAGTAACTGACATATTTTAAGCTCAGAGTGATACTCAGTGACAGGAGCATGGATTTCTAACGTCCACAAGATGTTGCAAACTTTGTAGAGTAGGATCATTTGCTGTCACTTAAATCCTTTATCTATTTTATATGACACTCAGGCTCTCGGAGTTATGATTAGAAATGTGATACTTTACATGTTTATCCTTATCTTGCACTCAGAGGCTCACCTGTCTGCTCTTCCTTATCTGCTCTCAGGAAAAACTGTCAGGGAGAACCCAGAGGACAGTGGCTCATTTCTGCCACATGAGTGCCTTTTAAAACACTTGATACTTTTAGAGAGGAGCAAGGACCTCAAGTCCTGGGCAGTCTCCTTATGGTGCCTCTCACCACTTATTCAACACTGTAGGCACCTTTTAAGTCTTTAACACATTTCCTTCCAACAAAGATAAAATTATTTAGCTGTTTGCACTCAGAGGTTAGCTCAATGAGAGAGAAGGGAAATACCATAATAACTTCTGGACACTTTCCTAAAGGCTTCACATACTTCACCCTGCCTAAGGCTTTACACACTTGAGCCTCGTCCAAACTTTTCCATCCTCTGAGGTTGCTGGAGACCAGAGCAAGAAAAATAACCTGACCCAAAGTGCCCAGCTGGTCAGTGGCAGAGCATAAGGCTTAGGGCTTATAGAGCCCAGATCTGGACAGGGCTGGGTTTGAGCCCTGCCTCTGCCACTTAATGGCTGTATCTTTGGGAATGTTACTTGACCTCACTCATTCTTGTCTTCCTTACCTATCAAACCAGGTTAACAACAGTACTCTCCTCCCAAGACTGTTGGGGGAATTCAATGAGATAATAATACGTGGGAAGCATCTTGCACAGTGTCTGAGAAATATTAAATGCCCAGTCATTAGTGGTTCTCACTATTAACTGGGTAAGAAATGTCTGGCTCAAAATCCTGTGTCCTTTCCACTGAAGAAAAAATGGCTTTTGCATGGTAATTACAACCAGCAAAAACTATAAGGCAACCAATCTGAAACTGAGTTTTCATCCAGATTCCACCTGAGTATCTTCAATGACAAGGGCACTCACATAATCTGTATTGTCAATATGCTTTTTAAAAATGTGGATCTGGAATGTCACCTGACAACCCAATTGTGCCCTCATTATTTCCCATGCAGTTATTTTGAAGCTAAGTATCTTTTTCCACCAATAGATCTTAGACTCTTTGAGAAGTAGGACCCTAGGAAACTAATAATTAACATTTATTGAACACTCACCATGCACCAGGCACTATGTCAGCCAGAGCCTGCTTCACAAGCATGCAGCCTGTGCAGTCATGCTTAGCAGGGCTCTGTGCTTGGCTGATTGCTCTGCTGCTGTACTCTTAATACGTTTAGAAGGGCTAAAGGAATACTCCCCATATTCCTTTTGCCCTTTAACTTATGTAAGCAGTCCTGGTGCTAGTGACTTTCTAGGCATTATCCCTTTAGTCTTCACTAAAACCCTGTGAGATAGGTACTATTATCCCAGTTCCACAGTACAGGAAATGGAAACCCAAAGAGGTTAGGTAACTGGGAGCCAGTATGTGATGCAAGGTCTGACCCTAGAGGTCTTCCTCTCATTTCATCCACTTCCCCCCTCCCCTTGCACTGCAGCATTCAGAAACACACTGGCACTTAATAAATGTATGAATGAATGGATGAATGTATGCAGTACATTATAAGTTGGACAGCTAAGAAAAGTGTAAAGAAAATGGCTAAAACACAGATGCCAGCTCCTGGTTGTAAAATGATTCGTTTGGTTGTTTTTCAAAATGTAGGCTCATGGATCAGAGATGTACTTGAAGCTATCCTTCCCTACACTACCAGATGTTTGGACTATGAGATTTCTAATGTCACTAATCCTCAGTGGGGTACCTTGAGCAGGTTCACCAACCTCTCTGAGAGTAATTTTCTTATTCGTAAAAGGGGCTCATAATCCCTCCTTAAGTCATGATGCTCTTTTCCTAAGGCCAAAAGGAAACATAAGGTGTTGGCTCCAACACATCTGAGCTGGGCCTTGGATAGAATATAAACATGCAAAAGACTATAGCTCTGTCCTCATGGAGCTTACAAGCAAGGAGAAAATCTGGCCCACATGGCTACAATACAAGTAAGCCGAATGCACATTCATGGCGAATGCACACAGAATGATGAAAGCACAACTTGCCTCCCTTAATTTTTTTTCTTTTTTTCAACTTTAGGGACCATCCAGTAACTAGTCTGGTAACTCCAAATGCTCTCAATCCCAATCATCAGTTCACCCTCACAACTGGGCGGCTTTCCATACTAAATCTCTCTAAAATACAACCACTTCTTCCTATTTCCACTCATCTTCATTAATTCATTCCACAAATATTTATGGAGCACCTACTTACTGCACAAAATGTGAACGAGACAACACCCTCATGAAAGTCACACTCCAATTGGGAAAACAAGCAAAAAAGAAGACAAAGCAAATAAATTACTAATATGGAAACAAAAATGCGCTGGACACACCTAAACCAGTAGCTACTTTAGATAAGGTGGTTACAAAGGTCTCTGTTGAGGTAATCCAGCACCCTTGCATGTACTATTCCTAACAGATTGTTTCCCTACAATCTCACAGCCTCACATCCTGCAATCTCCTCCCTACAGTAAATGGCTCCTTTAAACATGTAAAGGTTTTGTAGCATGCTCCCACTGCATTCAGAGTAAGACTCAAGTGCATTCAGAAAAATTGTTGATTTACATCAGGGTACTGATTGTTGAAAATGAATAGACAAAAACATTTCTACGCTGATGGAACTCACATTTTAGAGAGGGGACATGAGAAAATTGGAGGGGGAAGAGTGATGGAGGAAGGACGGGTATCAGGCTCCTATTTTTTAAAACCGCTGAGGTGACCGTATGGCCACGTCTTATGTTGTCTCTCCCCTTCCTCCAGTATTTCAGTCCCTTACTCGCAGTACTCTTCCCTCTTCGTTGGGTCCTCACAGAAGCTGCTTACTTCTACCTGAACTGCTTTCCTGCTGTTTCATCTACTCATTCTTCAGCTTTCAGTTCAAATATTTCCATTAGGAAAACTCTGCACATTCGGCCATATTGTATTCTAGGCGGCCGCAGCACCATGCCCCTCACCTTTAAACCTCGGTCCTATTTTGACTTCATATCGCGTTTGCATTTGTTTGTTGTTTATAATTTCACATAAGCTTCAAAAGAGCACAGCTGTGATCCCTTTGTTCGCCGCGGACACCACGGCTAGCACTGAACTCACACCGTAGTGGCAATAACACACACTACGCGCGGAACACACTTGAAAACCGGAAGTGTTGCGGGGCGGATGGAATAGCACCGCGCTCCGGAAATAAATGTTCGAGTCCGGCATCCCTGAGACGGAATCGCCCGCGAGGACTGACGGGAATCGTGGTTTTTTAAGCGAGTGTATCTCGTCGCTAGCAGCTAGTGAGCGTGCGCCGCCTCCGTCGGCCTAGAGCAGAAACATGGCCGCGCGGCCCTTGTGGGCGGTCCGGCGGCGGGTGCAGCAACTTTTGGCCTCCAGTGCCGCGTCCGATGGCAGGTAAGCAAGCGAGGCAAGCCTTGGGTCGAGGACGTGAGGACAATGCGGGGTGAGCGAGCCGGAGGGCCAGTTGCTGGCGAGAGGACCCATCAAGCCTCTCGGCCGCTCCGATCAGGCGCTCACAGCCCCATTATACAGAGGTGCAAACTGAACCCCACAACCGCTCTTCCTTGCCGGGCGGAGAAGGTGAGAACATCTAAGGTCACGTCCTCGAAGGTGGGAAATCTTTTCATCCCCGAGCGTAGATTGAATTGGGGAGGTATCTCTCCCGGCCCCTTCTTCGCCGCTGTGGTGTCTGCAGGTAAATTGGAATGTTCTCCCCTGACTCCTGTGTGACCTTACGCCAGTCCCTTCCCCATTATCCGGACGTCACTTTACCTGTCGGGAAAGGGGGGCGTTGGATTTGGTCTCTCCCCATAAGGTCTTTGCACCTGCTTTCGGGAGTGTGTGGAGTTCCAGTAACTGTTTTGATCAATGGGCTGCGGCACTTTTTATTGATCACTTATGCCGATTGCAGAACTATGGGTAATTCTTTTTATTAGGCTCTGTTTAACGGAGGAAACTGAGGTTTGGAAAAGTTGAGTAACTTTCCGCGATAACATTTGGGGAATGGTGGAACCCAGGCTGGAAACCAGTCAGGGCTCCAGAGTCGGGGTTTTTCATTAGTCAACAATGACATTTATTTTCCGGCAATATTCCCTGTTGACTACTACTTCCTAGGAAAGAATAAAATAGGGCTGAGTAGGCGGGTGGATAAAGTTGGACGTCTGAAATGTAAATTAATCCACGGGGGATTCCGAGAATTACTGTATGCATAACTCTGTCACCTTTTTGTCCTAACATACCTGACCCAGCAAGTACCCCACCCTAACACCTGGGTGAGAAGTTGAATTCAGGGTTTCGGGCTTTTTTTTTTTTTCCAATCGTGATTAATTTTTTAAAGTCTTTGTGGCAGTTTGTGATGTAGGGAAGTGACCAGAAGAAAAACGGCTTCTTTGATAAAATTAGCCGGCACTGCAGAAGCAGGAGGAGCTGAAAGGATCTGCCCCAGCTACCTTCTCTTTTGTGACTTGTGTTCTGGCCATTTTCCCTTTCAGCTGGCCCTGAGGATATTGTGGCTTGTTTTCTGTGAATAAATGCAGCTTGTTAGGAGTTTATGAGGAAGAAGGCATTTCATGTGTATAACCTGACACCAGATCACAATCAGTGAATGCAGGACTGGCCTGGAAAGTTTGGGAATAAAAGTTGTGCTGGGTACACCTTAGGCCGGCTGCTCTCTCTTCCCTTTCTGGAAGCAAACTCCTTTACCCTCTTAAACCTTTGCTCAAGTTTCACCTTCATGAGCACTCTTCTGTATGTGCTAGTTTATATAAATAAACTTTTTAAAAGAGCTTTTGTACTTGCAGACCGATTTTCTTGATGATTTTACTTAACATCAAATTATCCAGCGAGTACATTGGAAGCTTCATGGAAGGAGGGGCAGAGCTGCTACAGTCCAAGATCCACAAATTAGTCCCTGCTCTAATTCTCCTCCTGTGTAAACTAAATGAAATGTCAAACATTTTAGCTGTATAAAATTGTAGATTATAAGCATAATGGAATACAAAGATCTATTTTATTCATCTGTTTATGTTTCACAGTCCATAACATACAGTGTTTTATGCAAGTTTAATTGAGTTGATTTTACATATAGGTGAGGTACCATCTCAGAATTTTTTCTTACTCAGCCCAGGTTCCCTTCTCTAAAAGCCTTACAGCTTGCAATCGAGGTTTAGAACTCTAGGCCTAACTTCAGTTTGATAAAGTCCCTTTACAGGCCTTTATTTACCCCAGCAATAAAATGAAGGATTGAACCTTATGGCTTTTTGGTTTGAATTCCCACTATGATAAATGCCCCACAGGTTCTGAGTATCACAACTTGTTTTTTTCTTGCTAATTTTTTTGTCCCCATTTCTGGCTATTTCTGTTGCCTGGTGCTCAGTATCCTGGCTCCACAGAATACTAGCTATGTGATCCTGAACGAGTCTTAAGCTTCTCTGAGCCTCAGTTTTCTCATCTGTAAAATAGGGACACTAATAGTACTTATCTCACACACTGTTATGAAATGAAAAGATGGTTCAAGTAAAATCCTGAAAACAGTCTCTGGTGCTTAGTAAGCGCTTTACAATGGTTCATATTGTTACTGGGACCGAAAACCCTTTGTCTGGAGTTCAGTCTGGAAACTTCCTGGTCTCTGAACTTGGCTGTAACTTTGGCTGTCAATGGCGGCATTTCTTCATTCTGCGCTCCCTCCCTCCCACTTTAGGGGATGTCCGCATCCTTTTAGCACTGCCACCCAGAGCACTGCTGGGGAGGACTGCGGTTCTGAGGACCCTCCTGATGAGCTGGGGCCCTCTCTTGCAGAAAGAGCCTTAAAGCTAAAAGCTGTGAGACTGGAAAAAGAAGTCCAGGATTTAACAGTGAGTAGATTTTATCTGTTCACAATTGTTTCCCCCCATTGGCTCTCTGTTCCTCACCCACTTCCACTCTCTAGTTAGATATACTGGGCAAAATAATCCACAGTGGTTAAGAAATATCACTGACTAAGGATAGTCCTCTCCTTCAGTTCCCTGTTGTGTTTCAGTCCTTAGGTATCTGATACTTGGTAGCCTCAGAGGAACTACAGTGCCTGCCAGGTACTTGACAATATTTGTTGAAGGAGTGAGGTCATTTATCATTCACTGTGCTGGTCAGACTACCTTTGGCATATTGTGCCCAGTGCTGGGCTGACAAATGCACTTTGAGGAAGAGGGATATTAAAGTAATTACAAACAAGACCAACTGGAAAGGTAAGGCAATTGGAAAGCATGTTTTATGAGAGCAGTTAAAGGAACCAGGGGTCATAAGAATGAAAGAGAAAAAGACTAAAGAGACTGAAATAACTTCCTTCAAATAGATGACACATTTTTATTTATTTATTTTTAAGATTTTTAAAATTTATTTTTAGAGAGATGGGGAAGGGAGGGAGAAAGAGAGGGAGTGAAACATCAATGTGTGGCTGCCTCTAGCACACCCCGTACTGGGGATATGGCCTGCAACCCAGGCATGTGCCCTGACTGGGAATCAAACTGGCAATGCTTTGGTTCATAGGCCTGCACTCAATCCACTGAGCTACACCAGCCAGGGCAGATGACACATTTTTTAAACATACTCTTGGTTGTCTTAGAGTTCAATTCGGTGAACAAAAGTTGGACGGTGGTAATGCTGGCTGAATGTGAAAAAGAAGGCTTTTTCTCAAGATGAGCTTGAAAACTAGCAGGCTCAATGACCGCCTTCCAGGGCTTCTGTAAAGAATAGATTCCTGCTTCACCTGGGCATTTGGAGTCACTGATCTGGAACTCCTACAACTCCTTTTTTTTTTTTTTTAATTTAAACCCTGTCATGAGGGTACAATTTGTAAAATAAGCAAAACCATTCTTTTCTACCAAAAAGAAGCTGTTTTCTTATCATATTGACTTTGCTTTTGATGGTCAGGTGAGATACCAGAGAGCTGTGGCTGATGGTGAAAACATAAGAAGGCGAACCCAGAGATGTGTAGAAGACGCCAAGATATTTGGTGAGAGATTTATTCTTACTTAAGACCCCTCACTAACAGTTCTGCAAACTGAACATAGTAGAAACGCATCTGAGTCCTTAACTGACCCCTGCCCTGCCCTACCCTTCCCTGATTCCCATAGGCTTTCTGTGCTGCTTGTAGGGGGTGTTGCCACGTGAACCATTCACTAAAATACTGCTTATCTGTAGTTTGACCAAACCTTGGTTATTTTCTTTTTCAAGCATGTCCACTTAACATTCTAGTGCTTATACAAACAGTTGTGTTTAACTCATTAACAAACAAGTGAATCATCAAGATGTTCAATGGAGAATTCACAAAACAGACACATTGGCAATCAGGTCTGCTGAAATTGCTACATAGAAGCAAAACTGGTCTGTATCTATAGTGCAATAATCCATTGTATCTCCACCAGACAATTTTTACGATTGTGGACAAGAATTATTTGTATTATTCTCAGTATTTGTCAACTTCCTAAGTTATAAAAATAACTCAAGCAACAAAAGGACCCCATGGAAGCAGATAACCCTGGAGGCTGGGCTAGATCACCTAAATTTTCGTTGATGACATTGGATAACCTTTTTGGTCCGTTTCAAAGTGTTTCAGAAATTTTTCTACACATGCATCACATCTTGTTCCAAATATGTTCTTGAAGGTGTTAGTTGAATAACTAACTTCAAGGGACTTCAAGGGTAAAGGGCAAATCTGTGGTGACTTGCTGTACTCACAGTTTAATGTGTAACATTATACTCCCACTACACATAGAAGGAGAGTGCTCGAAGGGGCCCTGGGGTCTATCTGGTCCAGTCTTCTTTTACAGGTAAGGTGACAAAAGTGAATTTGTGATAGATGTGGACATGAGCTCGTTGTGTGCTGACCCCTCAGTGATACTTCTTTCCCTGTGGCACACTGCGTCCTTCGCTCTGGACTTCATCCGTTTGTGCCCCGGTTCTCTTCGCCCCTGTCCCATGTGGCCCCAGAACTTCGGCATAGCCTTCTGCTTTTCTCTCTGTGCTGTGGACATCGTGTTTCAAGGCTTCAGTTGCCGGCTAAGTACTGACCCCCAAATTGTATTCCTGATATTTCATCCAAATTTTAGTCTCTTATTTCCAACTGCCAGACTATAGCCTGCAGTCCAAGCCTGCCACCTCTTAGTCCATAAAGTTCTGAGTTTCATCATTAAAAACTCATAAAAAATTTATTTTCTTTTTTGTTATATAGTCACCCACATAAAATCCTTGATTTTACCTCTGTTCCCACAAAACATAAAATATTTATTATACGGTCCTGGCCAGTGTGGCTCAGTTGGTTGGCATCATCCCATAAACTGAAAGGTCACAGGTTCGATTCCCGGTCAGGGCACATGCCTAGGTTGCGGGTTCAGTCCCTGGTCAGGGCATGTGCAAGAGGCAACTGATCGTTTCTCTCTCACATTCATGTTTCTCTCCCTCTCCTTCCCCTTTCCCCTCTCTCTAAAATCAATAAGCATTTCCTTGGGTGAGGATTAAAAATGAGTATTTACTGAATGACCTTTTACAGAAAAAGTTGGCTGATCTCTGAGCCAGAGAGAGTTTTTGTAGTAAATAAACCACTTGTGGTGACTGGGGAGACTTCCCACCTGCCTGAGGGGAGCAGGGCGAGTTGGCTTACCAGCAGTCAGACTTTGAGTTAGGAACTAGCTCATATCAGTTTCCTCAAGAATTAACAAGGTGCCCAGAAACAAGTACATATTAACTAAACTTAAAAGAATGTAATAGGTAATTTCATTTGTTTACAGAGGAAGATGTGTCTAGCAAAACATGCCGTATAAGTCATTTCCTTAGACCATTTCTTCCTTGTGACCAGGAATACTTAGAAAATTGAAGTAAGCATGGAAGTGTGAAAAAAGTAGAATGCTTTCAAAGGACAAGGCATGAGTCTGTTCTCCTTCCAGGGATGGTTTTGTCTCAGTAACCCATATTCTCTTAAACAGCTCACAAAGGAACCTTTTTTCCTCACTAAGAAACAATGCAGAACCAACCACTTTTGAAATAACACAATAATTAAAATAGAATCAAATAGTGGAAAAGTACCTAAGCTTCTATTTACCCAAATTTACACAACTTTACTGACTAGAAGCCAGGGCTCTTTGTATCACAGCAGCACACAAGTCAAGACCAGAAGCTTACAGCTTTCAAAATGCTATTAAAGTGTCTGTCTTCTTTTGAATAACCAAGGGATACTTTTCATGGTGCTGATTGATCTTTTTAAGACATTCTTTTCTCTTGGGTGAAATACTAATCTTATGGGCATGCTTTTCAAGCCTTTGGCCAAGGTCTTCTCTCACAGCTGGTCTCATTAAGAGCCATTCATATTTTCTGGCTGCCATCCCTGGCAGGGGTCAGGGAGGTATCTTCCACAGCCTGGAGCATATCACGTCTGGTTCCCTGGAAATACCTCCTGTTTTCACTGTTTCCTCTCCATTGCCTCATCTCCTTCAGACCATATCATGACAAGATTACTTCCATTGACTCCCTTTGTTTTTTTTTTTATCTCTTCCTTGCCTGCCGCATCTATCATGCTGCCAGCCCCCCAGGGTTCATTATGTATGTTATTATTAGGCTAATTTGAATCCCAATCCACTTGTTTGACTCAAGAAGCTATAATGGATCTCTTATCCTCCCAGAGTTAAAGGAAAAATTCCCTCCTCTCTGTCAGGCAATCCTTTATCTGTAGTCTTTTTTATTGCTTACCTCTCGCTGGTATTCTGATTCCCTCTGAATACAGTTGAGGTGGCTTCTTGTTTGGACACGGGGCCTTAAAACTCGGCCTAGATTACAGGTGGGTCAACAAAGTCCTTTGCCCCCACCTTCCCCTACCAGGGCATTGGTGTTCCCACGGACATCTGTAGTGGTGACATTGCTTATCCTTCTTGTGGGAAAAAATCAAGATGCAGCAATGGGAGTAATGAGATTTCTCAACTGAGTTTGCTTTTATAACAGTTCGTGTGACTCTAAAAAGGTTAAACAGTTTGGGCTCATCTCTAGCAAGTATGTATAACTTTATAGCAAGCGGTTGGAGACTCATCATGGATGTGTCTTACTTTCCTGTTCCTACTTAGCCATCCTCAAAATAAGCCACCCTTTTGACTCCCCTTAGTCTGGTCTTGTCCGCTAATTTTTTATTATGGCCTCCCTTGAAGTGCTAACATCCCTATTGCTTCAACATGTCTGAGACAGACAGGAATTTTCAAAACATACACACAACTCAATGCTAAAAGCCAATAGCAACAGAAAGACAAGAAGCATGAAGATGGTTTTAAAGGACTGGTTCCTGAGCCTGTTGTAAATAGTCTGTTCTCGGGTTCTACCCTCGTCCCCGTTTCCTAGGAGGACTCCTAGTCCAGTGCCCGCCGTGGGACACTGGCTGGCTGGCTGGGTTGCTGCTGCTCCCCAAGTCCTGTGGGGCAGTCCCACTCCCTGGAGTGCCTGGTACCCTGGCCCTCCCCAGGCCTCCCCTAGACCTCACCCGCAGAGGCAGAATGGTTCCTCACAAACAACGGTGCCTGGTTTCTCTGCAGGAATTCAGAGTTTCTGTAAGGACCTGGTGGAGGTGGCGGACATCTTGGAGAAGACCACAGAGTGCATTTCTGAAGAAGCAGAGCTTGGAGACCAGAAGCTCACGCTGGAGAAGATCTTCCGGGGCTTGTCACTTTTAGAAGCAAAGCTGAAAAGTGTGTTCGCCAAGCACGGCCTGGAGAAAATGACCCCCATTGGTGACAAATACGACCCTCATGAGCATGAACTCATGTGTCACGTGCCGGCTGGGGTGGGGGTGCAGCCTGGCACGGTGGCGTTGGTGAGGCAAGACGGCTACAAGCTGCACGGCCGCACCATTAGACTTGCCCGGGTGGAGGTGGCGGTGGAGTCCCAGAGAAGACTGTGAACGGGCAGGGAGGAGCCGCATGTGCTTCGGAGAGCGGCCGCCTGTGCTCCTTTATTTATTAAACTAGGTTTGTATTGTACATGAGCTACTTCATGTGGTCTGTCCTGGATTTAGTCATATTGGCTTTGTTTCTAAGATACTGTATTGATTTACGGTGACCTCTTTGGTCTCATCAGAAGTCTTGCCATTGGGCATTTGAACAATGTGACAAGTGTTCCTGTGGCCTTTATCAAAATATGTTTAAGAAAATTATTTTTAAATTAGTGCTCTGATGACTTTCAATCCAAAATCTGTTCAAAAGGTGGAAATGAATATATATATCTTTATGTGTTTTCAACTGATTGTTCCCTTCTGATAGCCCTGTAACAGGAACTGTATAGAACCTGGTATTTGTGGGGGAAAGGATTAGCTCAACATTTGGGTACTTAGGTGGTGAAGCTTTATAGTTGTATGACTTTAGATCATTTGGGTTGGTTTTTATACGTGTGGATTTTCAGGACTTGACCTATTCTTATTTTATTTTCCTTTTAGCCATTTTTTTGTCCTTACAGCACCTGCCAGGTAGACTCCACCTTCACCCTCACTGTCTTTTCCGAATCCCATTTACAAGGGCTGAAGACCCAGGCGAGACTCGGAAGGCAGGGAATGCCGAGAGAGCCACCCAGTTCCCCAGTCTGTCCCGGAGCGCGAGAGTGTGGCACTCCCCTTTCATGTGTGACCCGGAGCAGTGAGCCTGTGTGTGTTTTCTACTTTTTCAGTCCTGCTTCATGTGCCTGGTGTTTTGTAAAAGGTTTGTTCGACATACAAGTCAGGGAATGGGTGATACATCAGACTTCAGAAAGGAGGTTACCTACAGCTATTTTAATGCTAGAAGAGGCCTTAATGGTGATCTGATATCACCCTTCCCACTTCTTCTGAAGTATGAAAACAGTGTTTTTAGAATTGGACTCAAAAAAATAAATCTCTAAAACTAATGGACTAAATTTCAGTGAGAATTTGAATGAGGATCAACGAGGTACCAACCTCGGTCAAGACGCAGTAGTTCTGTAATGAGCGCGCGAGGGCGTCCCCGGCAGACAGTGAAGTGTCGGCTGTCCAGACTGCATAGGGTCAGGGTTTGTTTGGTTGTTTCCTTAAAATGTTTTAATTACATAGGGTTAGGTTTAAGTTAGCTACCCATAAAATAAATCCACTTCTACTGGAACTCTGTGACCCATTTCAGTGGAGTGGTAAAAATTAGACACCATATATAATTCTAGGACACTACGCAGACTTGTATAAATAAAGCCATCCCCCAGTGGGCCCTGCAATCTCCACGAGATTTAGACACTTAAAAAAAAATACATGCTTTTAAAATGCAAACAAAACACTGGTGGTAAGACTTTTAAACCAGAACCTCTTGGCATCCCCCTAAGTACATGGTGTAAATTTAATGAGCAGTCAGAGTTCATAATGAGAATCTGTCTTTATTTGCCTGCATTCCTTTGAGATTGACAGATGGTGACAGTAAGAGAATGAACCCATTATAATTACTCATGCATTCTTGGATTACTAGCTGTTACTACCATTGAATTAAAATAAGCGTAATTTTAGGTATGGAATGTTCTGATTACTTGAAGAATTTTCTGATATTCTTTGTAACTTCCTGTTTTAGCTAGTGGATTGAGAATAACTTTAGATTCTCATTCAGTAGTTTTGCAGACTTCAAAGTGGAAATGTAGAAAATGGAGCCATAGCAGTAAGAATCTCACAAAGTGGAAGGGCTTTGGGAGCTAGGGCAGCGCGCTGGAGCACAGGCTTGTGGGCATGGGCTTCAGCGGAGTCCCGGCTCAGGCACAGTGTGACCTCGGGCCCCGCTCCCTTCACCGTTCTGAGCCTGCTTTCCTATTAGTGAAACAGTTATGATTTCCTCACAGTGTTGTGAGGGTTAAATGAAATGTGTAAATTGCCTATTGTAGTAGGCCCTCAAATATTTATTTTTAATTGCTTTTTATTATACACATTGTTTTTCCAACGTTTTGTACCTGCCTTAAAGTCTAGGAAAAAGGGGAATACTGGTTAAAAAATGTTTAACTATCGAAACTTAATAAGCTAATCAGAGTGGCTTATTTTCCTTCCAGCTTCTGGTGGTTTGGGTTGGGGTTTTTTTGTTTTGTTTTACCATAACACAAGAAATTCACATTTTGAGGCTGAAGGAGCAAGAAAATTGTGTCGGTGCTTTGAATTATTTTCATCCTGATGGTGACACAAAGAGATGTTGGCTTACAGAGGGCATGTGAGGAAGCTGTGGCTCACTCGAAGGGGGGATCTCGGTGTTTCAGTACTTGGGTTCTACAGATCTTACAGGTTTTCCTCACTGCCATAAAGGAGGAGTCAGTTGGTTTAATACTGACGGAACTTCTTTGGTGCTTTCATGGCAAAGGATTTGATAAGTGAAGCAAGGTTCTTAAACACTAAAGCAAAATGAAATAGGGAAAACTAAGGATGATATAAAACATTCAGAAATAAATAACTTCAATAAAACCTGACTTGAAATAACTGCAGTTCACATGTAGTGCCTTCATTTGCCTAATTCATGTTGTGTGTTGATGTGCTGTCGTCACGACAGTGACTGCCGACCCACCTTGCTTGGTCCTCAGTGGAGGCGCCTTGAGATTCTGCAGCAGTGCAGCCACATGGATGCAGTGTAGGCATTCCACACCCTCCCCCGGTGCTAAAGTTGTGTCTGTTCTTACACCTCCCTGACTTGCTTCTTTCTGATTCCTATGTGTTATTTAGACCTGGACTCCTGTTTCTGCCATCCTCTCTGGAACTGCAATATTTTCTTGTGCTTGCTTCTTGGTTATAATTGTCTTACCTGCTTTAACCACTTCACTGGAACTGCTGGACCTCTGACCATCCTTTACACCAGATTACTAACACGTGACCTTGTTCTGCCGTGCCCTTCCCAACTCTGCCTGGCCTTGTCTTTACCTCTGTTCGGCTGGCTCCTACATACCCAGGCTCCTCGGTGGCCCTCTTTGGAGCCAGCCTTTCCGGAGGTGTGGCCTTGCGTTTTCATTCTTCCAGTCTTGTCTGCACTCCCTGGTTCCATAACCCATCATCTCTGATATTCTCAGTCTTAGTTGGTAAGTAACTTCTTGTTCCTGTACACAGACTTCATCCACACTCTAAATTTCACTGTGGAGATTTTAAAACATGGCTCCAAATTTCCTTGCATTGGAACTTTGTGATTGACCAATAGAATACAGTAGAAGTGACACTGCCAGTTTCTAGACACAAGCCTTCCTATCTCTGGATGCTTACTGGGAACCCAGCCATCAAAACAAGAGCAGACCAAGGCAGCCTGTGGGGTGGACCTGAGGGCCCTAGCTGAGCTTTCAGCCGACAGCAAGAACCACCTTGCCAGTCATCTCGGGGAGCCATCTTGACTGTGGATCCACCTGCCACCACGTGCAACAGAGATGACATGATCTCACATCGCTGCCTAAAGTAGAGAATTTGAGGCAAATAAATATTTGTTACTTTTAGCCCTTGCTAATGTGGCTCAGTGGATTGAGCGCTGGCCTGCAGCCCAAAGGGTTGCCGGTTCAATTCCCAGTCAGGACACATGCCTGGGTTGTGGACCAAGTCCCTGGTGAGGGGTGGAAGAGAGGCAACCAGACATTGATATTTCTCTCCCTTTTCTCCCTCCCTTCTCTCTCAAAAAATAAAATCTTAAAAAAAATAATTGTTTCTTTTAGCCACCAAGGTTTGGGGTAGTTTGTTATGCAGCAATAGATAACATACCCAGCCTCAGTCCCCCAAGGACCCTAAAATTAAAAGCAAAGTAGAGTGAAGAAGTTACTTTAATATGATTTACCCAACCCCCCCAAAAAAAACCCTACACAATGAGATTAAGTCAGCACATAAAAACTTCACACAAAGTTATCAGTGAATGCTTTGTTTAAAGAAAAACTAAGGAATACTTCAACTCTTTGGGAGTGAACTTGAAAGGTTTTGCATTCTGACACAAATACTGCCAAAAAGTTTTTTATTTTTCTTTCAAGATTATGAGGAATGCATGTTCATGTACGATTTTACTAGTAATCCAGTTTGGCCCTGTTAAATCAAGACTCAAAGCTGATTTAGGACCCCAGCTGTATGTGCTTTTACTGTTCTCGGAATCCCTTGGCAGTTTCTTCTCTCAGCCATAATCTAACTGAATAAACATGGAATTTACTTGTTATGAACTCATCCCCAACTTCATTTTCTGCTAGAAGAAATCTGTCTTTCAGTGCCATAAACCAGCCACCCTGAATGGTCTTGTTTTCTCAGAGGCTGAAAATGGGAGCTTATCCCCTCCTCCCCTGTGAGTAGAGAGTGCATGAAGACTTTTTGTTTTGTTTGGGGTTGTTTGGTTTTGTTTTGGGTAGAAGGCAGCGATATGAGCTGTATGTAGAAACTGCAAAAAAATAAAATAACAGAAGCCTCAAAAGCATCTGGCCTTATTTCAGCCTGGTCAGCAATTTCCAGCGCTAGCAGACACTGCCAACTGTTTTCACCTTCCTTACCTCACATGATTGTCTCAACCACTGAGAAAGGTAGAGCAACGAAACTGAATGAGACACAGAGAAGGCACGTTACAGTTAGTAACTGTCAGAGGTTGGCCTTGAACCGAGGAGATCGAGGAGATTCAATTCTTTCTCTTCCACCAATCTCCCCGCAGTAGGATCCTGGTCCTGATGCTGAGCATCCGAAGAATGCACACCTGCTTCGGAGCAAGAAGAGCCAGCCAATGAGGAGCCCACAGTCAGGAGGCGGGATGGGGAAGCTGCCAATGATAGAGCCTTCCCGGAGAGAGAGAGGCAGCTAATGAGGGCCCTGTGCCGGAGAGGGAAGGCTACTTGTCCAATGAGAAGCCGTATACTGCGAGTCTGGAAGGCGGGACGGCCAGTGGCGCTCCGGGGCGGGGCGGTGAGCACAGCGCCAACACGCTAGCACCCCAGCCCCGGCGTGCTGCCCCTGTTGCCGCCCGCCATGGCCCGTGCTGCCCGCCTCCTCGCCGCGCTGGCCACGCTCCTCGCAGCCGCCGCTACAGGCGGAGACGCCCGGCCCAGTAAAATCGGTGCGGGAAGGACGCGATGGGGTGCTGAGCTGGGGAGGGCTGCGCGCGGGAAAAGGGTTCTTAGCCTGCCGCAGCTGGGTGGGGGATGGGGAAGAGAGATGTGTGACGGAGGGGTCCTCAGGAGAGGAACTGGGTAGAGGAGAGGTAAGGGACTGCGGCGGGGCAAGGAAGGGGACTGCCTGCCGTAGGCAATGTGCTGATGCGGAGGGTGGTGTGGACATTCGTCCCTGGCTGTCTCGGGCGGGAAATAGGCTTGAGGCAGGACTGGCCACTGATCTCACCGAAAGATTCAGAAACAGTGAGCACCTGCCATGGACCTGGCTTTTTGCCAGGTGCCCCGATGACAGAGGACAGAGTCTGGAAGGTTGTCATACACAAAGGTTTATTGAAGGCCTGAGTAGTACGCACGGTGCTCATAGTTCTGCAGCGGAAGACTGAATAATACATGGAAATACATACATACAAGGCTGTAAGTACCCTGATATAGAGGAAATGCACTTCACCTCAGCCTTTGGTGGCTCTGGGAGGGCCCTGGAGGGCTTCCTGGAGGCAACATCTAAGCCAGAACCTTGTGAGAGTAGGAGATGGCCTAAGTGGAGACAGAACCCATGGTAGGTCTGCTGGAGATAGAATGGCTGAGTGACAGAGTGGGGAACATTTTGACAGCAGTCATTTTATTTGTGGGGTTTGGTTGGGTTTTTTGTTTCTGATTTTGGTGGGGTTTTTTTGCTTTTTTCCTCAATATTTTATTTGAAAAACTTTCGAACATACACCAAAGTTGAAAGAATTACACAGTAATCATCTGTATACCTACCGCCTGGTTTCTGCCATTAACACACTGCTACTGTACTTGTCTTATCACATACCTATCACACACCCATTAATCCATCTTAATTTTAATGGATTTCAAAATAAATTGCAAGCCTCAGGACACTTTACTAAGTACTTCATTATGCATATCATTCACTAGCATTCCATATTTATTTATAGTTTTTTCCTCTTAACAATTGTCATTTAACTCAACATGACTTGAAGATTGTCATGTCCCTCACATATAAAATGTCCATAGTAGGCAGAGATGTTGGGCTTCTGGCCTGGGGGAGTCAGGGTCCCTACTCCTCTTATCTGCCCTCCGTGCACTGCACTCGGCAGGGAGGGGCGCACCACAGACTTATTCTCAGTGCAGTGCTAAGGCTCCATGGGTTCTAGAACCACAGGCCGGGCTGCAGAGGGTTAAGACAGACTGAAGTCTGCCAGAAATAAGTTTGGGACTGACAGTTCAGGGTTTTCAGAGGAAAGAAAATCTTGATGGCTACAGTGGTCAAAGAAGACACAGTGGTGGAGAAAGTAGATTTTGAGCCAGGCTTTGGAGGATGGGGGAGAGTTAGGCAGGCAGTGTGTGGAGGTGCTGGGCACTCCATCTCTTGGGAGTGGACAGCAGAGAAGGACACTCCCCACAGACCACTGCGGAAGGCTCAGGGCCTCCTCCCAGCACTACTGTTTCTGGCAGTGCAAAGCTTGCCACCTGCCTCATTCCTGCCGGCCCTGCCCACCTTGCCCCAGGGGCATCTAGAGCAGGACACGTGGCAGTGCCAACCTGCCCGGTAGTTTCCTGATTGTCCTCAGCCCTCTGACAGGAGCCTCTGTCCTCCTTCGGTGTTTTGGACTCTACCCCATTGAGAACGAGGAGCTTCCTGTTAGCACAGCTTAACCCTCAGACTGCTGCAGGTTCAAATGTGAACACCTCAGTGTGGCATTGGACCCTTGAAGTCCCAGAGTTCCACACACTGCCCTGCTCACGCCCTTCTCTCTGTGGAGAACGTGTTTCCACTCACAAACAAAGCTGGTGTCCTCCAAGGTCCCAACCGAATGCTTCTTCCCCTTTTGTCTACCCACCCTCAGGCAGAGCTCATTGCTTCCTCCTCAGGATTCCCTGGAACCCTGTTGTCACACTTAATTACACATTGTCATAGCTGATTGTGTGTGAGTCTGTCTGCCCGCTGCAGCCTGGGCTCAGGAGGGCAGAGGCCCCGTCTGATTCTACTTGTGCCCCAGCACATCTTACCGTAGACCAGAGAGCAGCTATCAGTTAGTTCATGGGTGTTGAGGGAGCGAGGTCTTCTGCTGCCCCGTGGCCCTTGGACAGCTTCCAGGCCTTGTGATAGCAGGTTCTTTGGAAAAATGGGTAAGTTGGGGCTCTTGCAAATGGAGGAGAGGTGAACAAACTGTTTTAAAAAGGTTAATGGCATTCTTGGACATGGCTTTGTAAACACTGAGAAAGAGGAAGTGGTTTGTTTTTCAACGTACAACAAATACTTAATGAACTCCACTGCCTGCCAGGATCTGGGGGCGTAGATACCTGCTCTCAATCCTTAAATGGACCTTGAGCAGAACGAGCCGAGGACCAGGCCAAGGGTAAGGAGAGTGTTATGCGGAAATATGCTGAAGGGACACCTGACTTGTCTTAGCTGGGTCAGCCAAAGCAAGGGATGACTTGAGGGTCATAGGAGTCAGCGAAGCAGAGAGTGACAGCGCATTCCTGGAAAAGTGAGCAACGCAGACAAGGCACAGGCGAGAGAGAGAGCAGAGCAGTCACGTGCTCCACAGCAAAAGAAGTCCAGACAGATAAGAAGGTGGAGTAGTGCAAGGGCCAGGCAGGGAATGGACTAAGTAAGTGGAGGCCAGCTGATTAACAGCCTTGTTTTTTGTGTGTTTCTTTTTGTTGTTTTTTGCCTTCTTGGCAGGTACTTGTGGTGTTAGTGTCCAACATAGGTCTAGCAAGGACAAATCGCACCAGATTTATCTTATTTTCTTTTTGGCTAGGGTTCCTAGCCTGTCGTATGAGAGGATCAGATCCATGGTGGGCAAAGACAGTGGGTAGGGTGTCAGGACAGTTCAGTAGCACCATGGCTGCTTTACTGTCCTCTCTCAGTCCTATTCAGGATTAGTGTCTGTCTGGCCAGTGGTTCCCCATAGCACCTCACAGTCCTGTGCAGTCAAACATTTACCAGTGACTTGGATAAGAATACGATGGCATGTGAGCAAAGTTTGCAAATAACAGGAAAGCAAGAGGTGTAGGAAAGACAATGGATGATAAGACCCACAAAGACCTCAAAGAGCTGAAACTTTGTAACAGGTGTCCAAGATGGAAAAAAGTACACTATAGGGCAATGAGCAACCCGTCCGTCACAGGGTGCATTCCAGTCTTGGCAAACATACAGAAATGATGTGTCAGGTAAAAGGTTGGACTAGACCAAGGGTTGGCTGACTTCTTTAGTCAAGGGTCAGAGAGTAACTATTCTAGCTTTTGCAGGCCAAACAGCTCTGTTCAACTACTCAACTCTGCCTTACATGCACGCAGCCAGGACAGTAAGCTAAAGAAAGTATTTGGCTGTATTCCAGTAAAACTTTTTGTTTACAAAAACAAGCATCTGCATAGGTTTGGTCTGTGAACTATAGCCAATCCTTGGATTAAGAAGTGGTTTCCAAACACTGGTCTGCCTAACAGTACCTGTCAGTGACTAGGTTTTCATAGTGAAATAAAAACAGGTGCAGTGCAATGAATTTTGTATCAGACGAAATTTATTCTCTTTAAATGATCATCCTGAATTTTGAGGTTCCTGCTTTTTTGCTGCTAATGTGTCCTTTTCTTTACAAAGTGAGGGTTACAGTAGATGGCAGTTTTCAGAGTGTCCTTTCTTCTTTACTAATAGCTTTACTAAAAACTAGTCTGCAGATTGCCTTTTTTGAGATGTTACAAGCCTATGCAAGTGCCTGGGAATCACTGGCCCCAGGAGGCTGAGGAGGTGTGGCCCACAGTCTCATGCCCATCCTCTGTCTCTTTCCTTGCCTGCCTCCCGGGCCGCTAACAGCCGTGGTTGGAGCTGGAATTGGGGGCTCTGCGGTGACCCATTTCCTCCAGCAGCATTTTGGCGCCCGAGTGCAGATCGACGTGTTTGAGAAGGGGACGGTGGGCGGCCGCTTGGCCACCATCTCGGTCAACAAGCAGCACTACGAGAGCGGGGCCGCCTCCTTCCACTCGCTGAGCCTGCACATGCAGGACTTCGTCAAGCACCTGGGTGAGTGTGCCGTCTGGGGCTCCATTGTCCAGCCTCCGGGGCTGGTGGCAGCCATCAGGCCCCTCCCAGATTGCCCCAGTGGTCAAGGCCAGAAGGTCACGTAGCCCAATCTCCTCGTTTTACAGATGGAGCAGCTGAAACCAGAGAGGGGAAGGAACTTGCCTGAGGTTACACAGTGAGTTAGTTGCAGAGCCCGGATTACAGCTCAGGTTTGACTCAAAGGCCAGTTTCTTTCCCTTTTAATTTGCTGCCTCTTAATAATCATGATCAAAATGGCTTGCACATGCTATGTGCTTGCCAGGTACCTGGCATCCTTGTAGGTGGTATGTAGACATCACCTCTGATCCTCTCTACCAGCCTACAAGATGGGGGTTATATCTCCTCCTGAGGAGATGGAGGCTCAGAAAATGTATACACCATGGCTAAGGCCATGCAGCTAAAAAGGGAGAGAGCTGGGGTGTGATCCCAGCAGTGTCTTTCAAAAACACAAACGCATGTACTGTCTGACCCCGACATTCCACTTTGCAGAAGTGGCATTGCACATGCACAAAGAGGCACACACACAAGCTTACTCATCCCAGCAATGTTTAAAACAGCAGAAGTTTGAAAATACCCTGCCTGCCCACCCACTGGGTTCTGGAATTAAATAAATTATTCTTGAAGTACACAGACTGGTCAGCCAGATGGGGATGTCCTTTATGGCCAGGTGTAAGACAATCTCCAAGACACAGCATGTCAGGAAGGTGCACAGAATGTGGTGGTGGGGCGGCGGGGATAACTCACAGATACACCATGTATGAGTATTGGCACAAAATCTCTCTGGAAGGAGGCTGAAGGAACGTACTTACTGGTGACTCAGAGGCAGGAATCAGAGGGGAAAAGACAGAAACCTGTGATGTGGGGCAGGCCCTATAACCTCGAAGCCTCAGTTTCCACACTTTGATGCCCGCCCTGCCTCTTTGCAGGCCATGAGAGGAGGGCACAGAGCCACACTCCTGTGCTCTGTAAGCTGTAGAGGGTGGATGGTTACAAGGAGCTGTAGTTTGTCCCATGTGGTCTTGGTGCCCAGCACTGCCCACTCCTGACATTCCAGGATGACACCTGAATTTCGCTTGCAGCTGAGAGGATTCCTTTTGGGGGGAAAAATATAAAACAGTACGTTATTTTCATTTGCATCTCTTTATGGACTAGCCAGGCCCAACATTTCCCCAGTGTATTTGCTTCCTATTGTGAGCAAACAGCACAGGTGAACAAACCGTAGTATTCGTATTCCCGTCAGGGGAGCCAGTGCATCTGCATCCTTCAGGGAGGCCCCGAATTTCAGCTTCAGGCCCGGCTAGTTCTCCTGGGGGGCCCTCTGAAGGGGACCTGAGGGGCTCCCCCTTGTCTCTGCAGGGCTGAAACACCGGCGTGAGGTAGTGGGCAGGAGCGCCATCTTCGGCGGGGAGAACTTTGTGCTGGAGGAGACTGACTGGTACCTGCTGAACCTCTTCCGCCTCTGGTGGCACTACGGCATCAGCTTCCTGCGACTGCAGATGTGGGTGGAGGAGGTCATGGAGAAGTTCATGAGGTAGGGCTGGGTGGAGCTGGGGGGCTTCCAGAGGGAGAGGGAAAAAGAGACGGGGAACGAACCCAGTTCTGTTCCGTCCTGGTCCTGAGCAAGCCCCCAGCGTGAGAAACATACTAAGTTGGTACAGGCATGGTCTCTGGTGTTGTCACCATAGCATTTTCTTTCCCTCTGCTAAACTAAGCATGGGTTGTAAACTCAGGCACCGGGCAGGGCCAGCCTGGGACATGCAGCAGCCGGGTGGGGGAGAAGGGTAGACAGGTGGCTTTTGCACCTGTCAGCCAGCAGAGCCCCAATGTGAAGCCAGGTCTAGTGGGATTCTGGGGGATTTGTCCTTCCCTCTGCACTGTCCCTCTAGATGGGACAGGCCCACCACAGCCAGTGAACAAGCCAAAGGGAATGTAACCAGTCTCTCTCTGACCTCTACATGGAAAGGAGGGTGGGTCCCCGCTGGGCCTCCCAGATGTAGTGACCCAGCAGTGGGTGGTCAGCCCAGGTGCAGGGACACTGCAACGGGTGGTCAGCCCAAAGACCTTTCTGTACAAGGGCTCCAGCTCCACGTGTCTCCCAGGATCTATAAGTACCAGGCCCACGGTTACGCCTTCTCGGGCGTGGAGGAGCTGCTCTATTCGCTGGGGGAGTCCAGCTTCATCAACATGACCCAGCGCTCTGTGGCTGAGTCCCTGCTCCAGGTGGGCGTCACACAGCGCTTTATAGATGACATCGTCTCCGCCGTCCTGCGGGCCAGCTACGGCCAGTCAGCAGCGATGCCTGCCTTTGCTGGTAAGCCCACAGGCCTTGGCCTGCCCACCTGCCCTTCCCTGACCCACAGTGCCCAGCATGGCTGGGATCCCCATAATAACCTCACATCTGCCCGGCTCGGTACCGTTGCCTGAGCACTCCGTTGTCCCATCCCCTCTTGATTCTGGCATGGGTCCTCTGAGCTGCCAGGAAATGGTGTTTACCCCACTTCACAGATGGTGAAAGCGAGGCTCAGATCTCAGGTCCAATGGTTTTCCACTACTGATTAGGTTAGTTTCAGGAACTACCCCGAGGGGGGTCTCTGGGCCCTGTGTATTCATCTCTTAGCCCATCTCCTCTTCCCACGCAGGACTGGGGCCAGTGGGCATGTGCACAACCCCTGTCCTCCAGCACAGGCCACCAGAGGGGTCACAACTAAATCTGCCTGGGAGGGCCCCTGGGGCCTATCTCTTCCAAGGCATGGTGACCACACTGGGCCTTGGAAGATGCAGGATTTTTCTGGGGCAGTGGGAGGATGGGGGCTGGGCAAGTACGGCCGAGAAATTTCACCGGCACTCGCCGGCCTCTCCCCCCCGCCTGCTTGGCTGGCCTCTCCTCCCCGCCTGCTTGGCCGGGCCCTTCTCTTCTACCAGCGCCGTGACAGGGAGGGGCCCAGGCTCAGTCCTTGGTCCTGTTCTCATGCTCCCTCGGCGAGCTCAGCCAGTCTCAAGGCACTAGATTCTACCCACCTGCCCCCCAGACATGACCTCCAGCCCGACCTCTCTCCAGAACTGCAGTCTCATGCGTGCTGGCCACCACCCCTTTGTCTCCACTGGGAGGTTTAGTGGGCATCTCACACTCAGCACATCCAGACCTGAGCTCCTGACCTTTCCCTGCAGGCCTGCCCCTCCCAGCTTGGTTGGTTGTTACTCCTTTCCATTGGTCAGGCCAAAAACCTTGATTCACTTCCTTCTGTCATATTCTTCACCTGGTGTGTCAACAAATCCCATCTGCTTTACTTCCACACATACCCAGAATCCAACAGTTTCCCAGCACTGCTTTCTCCCGGGCCTAAACCACTAGTATCCCTCACCTGGATTACTGCAAGTCCCCCACCAGGTCCATGCCCCCACCCCCACCCTGCCCACCCTCCCCTACAGGCTATTCTCAACATGTCTGCTGAATGATCCTGTTAAAACAAAAGACACCATGGCAGGCCTGCATGTGAAACTCCATAAAGGCTCCCTTTTTCCTTCAGGAGAAGCCTGAAGTCCATTCAGTGGCCTGCAAGGCCCTCTGTGGCCTAGGCTCCACCTCCCCACCCCCACTCACCCCAGTACAGCCACCCTGGCCTTGTCCCCACCTGAGTGCTCTCATGTGGCCCTCCCTCTACCTGGAACATTTTTCCCTGAGGCACAGTCATGGTAAATGCTCCTTCCCCACTGTCTTTGTGCAGATGGTACCTTTCCATTGAAGCCACCCTAGCTCCCAGATTTAAGTTATACCTCAACCCCTGCCCCCCGCCCCCAGCAGTCCCAGGCCCTCTACCCTGCAGATGTCATCCTCCAGTGGACTGTTACATTTCCTTACTTTATCTCCCACTAGAATCGATGCTTCCTGAGGGCAGGAATCGGTGTCTCCCCTGGATAGACCATTGTAGGCACTCAGCCCATTCTTGTTGAATGGATGAATGGAAAGATTTGGAATTAACAGGCACCTCCCATGTGCCCAGGATACGGTTCCTCTGGCTCCTTCCCAGCCTTCAGATCCCACCAGGCGTCCCCTCATAGGACTTCCCTGTTCACTCTTTCATATTTTGTGTGTGTCCTTCAAGATATAAATCACATAACACACCACTTACCCATTTAAAGTGTACACTTGAGTGGTTTTGAGGATATTCACAATTGTACATCCTCCACATTTTCATCGCCCCCAAAAGTAACCTCATACCTTTAGCTTTAGCCGTCACCTCCCCAGTACCCCCAGCTCTCCAGCCCTGGGCAACCACGAATCTGCTGTGTCTCTGTGGGTTTGCCCACTCCAGGTAGTCTGTATAAACAGAATCCTACAACCTGTGGTCTTCCGTAGCTGGCCCTTGCGTTGAACATAGAGTTTTCACTTAATAGCATTAGAAATGTGTTGTATTTATCTTCGTGTGTGCTGTCTCTCCATGCCCATGGTTGGGAGGAGTCTTAGCATGGGAGGGAGGCCAAGACAGTATGGTGGTGGATTCTTCGGCCCCACTACCCAGAGGTTCTGAGAGCCCACCAACCCCCTCCCCCCTTTGCCCAGGAGCCATGGCACTAGCCGGGGCCCAAGGCACCCTGTGGTCTGTGGAGGGAGGCAACAAGCTGGTTTGTTCTGGTCTGCTCAAGCTGTCCAAGGCCAACGTGATCCATGCCACAGTGACCTCTGTGACCCTGCAGCATACAGGTGAGTGGATGGAGCAGTGGGTGTGGCCACTCCTTTCCTAGACAGTGAACACTTACACCTGTTCAGTCCCTAAACCCCAGTCTGTGACGTGCCTGAGTGGATTCCAGAAAAACTTTGGGAAGCCCCAGCACTACCAAGTGACACCAGAGGGCACTGTTGTCCCAGTTCAGGTGTCAGAGCCGGAACACTGAGGTTTATATCGGTCTGGCTCTGTTCATTTGACCAGTGAGGATTCTGAGCCACAGTCAGCGGCAAGAGCAGAGCCAGAGCTTGAGTCTCCTGACTCCCGGCCCAGTGCTCGCCCTGCAGCCACACCAGCATAGAAAGACGAGGGCCTGCCATCGGGACAGCCCAGCTGTCCGCAGGGTCTCATACCCTCTGTGCTGGGCCCCAGGTGGGAGATCAGGGGGTAGAAGCCAAGAAATAAGTTGACTTTTGTGCTTTCTTCCAGAAGGGAAACCCTTGTACCTGGTAGAGTATGAGAACGAGGTGGGCATTGGCTTTGACTTCTACGACATAGTGGTCATCGCCACCCCCCTGCACCTGGGCAACAGCAGCACCATCGCCTTCGAAGGCTTCGACCTGCCCCTCGACGTCACCCAGGACTCTTTCCAGCCCACCGTAGTCTCCTTGGTCCATGGCTACCTCAACTCTTCTTACTTCGGCTTCCCTGACCCTAAGCTTTTCCCCTTCGCCAACATCCTTACCACAGATTTCCCCACCTTCTTCTGGGCCCTGGACAATATCTGTCCTGTCAACATCTCGACCAACTTCCGGCGGAAGCAGCCTCAGGAGGCAGCCGTTTGGCGAGTCCAGTCCCCCAAACCCCTCCTTCGGTCTCAGCTGAAGACCCTCTTCCGCTCTTATTATTCCGTGCAGACAGCCGAGTGGCAGGCCCACCCCATCCACGGCTCCCGCACCACCCTCCCTCGGTTTGCACTCCATGACCAGCTCTTCCACCTCAATGCCCTGGAGTGGGCGGCCAGCTCTGTGGAGGTCATGGCTGTAGCCGCCAAGAACGTCGCCCTGCTTGCTTACAACCGCTGGTACCAGGACCTGGACAAAATTGACCAGAAGGATCTGATGCACAAGGTGAAGACTGAACTGTGAGGTCTGGAGCCAGCCTGGGAACATCCGTCCCCCGCCCCAGGTGGAGCACCGCCTCGGCAGCCGAGGCTGGGCCAGCCACACTCGCCCACCAGGCCCCCTGCTGGCTCCCCCTGCATCAAGTGTCCTCTCTCCAGCGTGGGTCTGGGCGGCCCGCTCTCTGCCTCTCTGTCTTAAGAATGCTCAGTTGTTCCAAGGGAGAGAGTAATAGGGGAAGGAAATTCAAACCAGTGTATTCACTTTATTTATTTTTTTAAAAGAAGAAATAAAAATCCATCTTCTCAAGCCACTTCTAACTTGGTTTTCTAACTAGGAAACGGGCAACAGTGGGAGGGAATAGAAGACAGAGAACTCGGAATCCAGGTCTTTATTGGGTTGCACTGCCCACTCCCGAAACATACCTGTGGCAACACCAGCAACGATACGTGTAACCAGATGGTTACAAATAAAGTAGAAAGGGAAATCAGAAAACAGAAGGCATGATAGTAGCTCCCATTTACTGAGGACTTACTGGATGTGTGGTACCTCATTAAATGATTAGACACCATCCAAGCCTCTCAACAGCAACACCTACTGGGGGAGAGGACTGTGGCAGGACCCAAGGAAGAGGTGGTCACCCCTGCGGGGCTGTCAGCATAGCTCCGAGCTTCCTGGCAACCAGTGGGAAACATACCAGGCCCAGGCCATAGGAAGAGGAGAACTTCCTTAGCACTTGGGGGGATTGGCCACTGTGTCCTTGCTGCAGGGGGTGTGGAGTGGAACACTGCCTTGCAAGGAGACAAGGCCCCAGATGGCAGAGGGCAGTCACACCTGACCCCCAAACATTAACCCCAGCAGAGGACGGGAAGAAAAGGTGTTGGGATGGAGTTCCACGTTAACCTGATTCAACGCCCAGGTCCCACCCAGCCCTGCTAAATCTGGCTCTGGGGTTGGGCCCAGGAGGACAGACACTGCCCAACACACTGAAACGGGGGCTTTCCCAGCAGGAACAACCCCAGAGGTCATCCCGCTAACTTCCCTTTGGTTAAAAAGATAGAGATAAAAGCCCAAAGTGACTACATAACTTGCCCAAGGTCTCTTGGTGAATTCATGGAACAGAGCTTAAATCTGGAGCATCTCCTTAAAATCACATGAATTCCGTGCCAAGGTGATAGTCGTGGTCGTGAGAGAGAAGGTGCCTTTAAAGTGCGAGAGGCGTGTCCTTGGTTGTTACAGGAATCGTGAAGTCGACATGTAGGTAAGACGCCAAACTTGGTGGAGTGGAAAGCCAGACTCACGCTGGCCTAAGCAATAGAAGGGTGTCCCTGGTTACCAGAACAGTCCAGGCTCAGGGCGCCGTGCAACTCCTGCGTCATTTCTTCTCTCATGGTCAAGGATGGCTGCCAACAGCTCCCAGGGTGAGAGGGTCTTCTCCCACGACCTCTGAACCACAGTCTGGGCTCTGGGCCAGCTGGGGCCCTGCTGAACCAGTTACTGTGGCCAAGTGAATGCCACATGCTGATTGGCTTAGGACTCAGTTGGGATGAGATTAAGCTGATTGGCTTAGAACAGTCAGAACCCACCCCTGCAGCAAAGAGGATCCAAACTCTACAGTCGGAGGGGTAGAAAAGAGAAGCACAGCGTCAACCACATGTAAAATGGGGCTGTGCCCTCTTGTTCCTCTCAAGTACGGTGAAATCTGTGTGTAATGGCATATTTTCGTGGTTTATGTTTAAAGTGAAGGTGGCCCAGGCGATCACGGTGTAACTGATGATCCTTGGTATTGGGCAGGGCAGCTGAGACCAATCCCCAACTGCTTCTGACAACCACCCCGTGCATCCCTGAGGACGTGCGGAGAGGGAAAAAACCAGGACATTTTACATTTGATCCCCAAAGCTGGCACTTTGGCTCCCTGCCCCAGCCTGACTGCTGTGGAGCTGGCTGCTGCTTCAGGAGCTCCCTTTGTCTGGACAGGCAGGCCTGAACAGCTCAGGACCAAACCAGGCCAGGATGCCCACGCTGCCCGCTTCCCCAAGCCCAAACCTGAGAGCTGGATCTCACCACCTTCCCACCTACAAGAAAAGGGCAGAGATTCCCGAAGGCAGTGGAAGGGAGCATGAGAACCAGCAGGAAGCCTCCGTCCCCAGGCCCACCCTCCCCTCAGGCCAGGACAGAAGCCCCCAAGGATCCGCAGTGCTCTGGGAGAAGAGAGAAGGGAGTGTTTGCAAAGACAGAGAGAGCCCTACGGTCTGCCAAACAAAACAGGAAGGAGGCCACACATTCTCAGCAGTCCCGGGGACAGTGTAGTGCATGTCCAAACTCCTCGAAGGAACTTTGCCCCTAGAGCAGGTGACTGAAGCAAGATTTCAGCTCTTTCAGGGGAGGAAGGTTGTGGAGGGTAGAGTTGGGGGTGGGTGAGGAACAGTGGGGAGGGAGGAATGCCTTGCTCCTAACCCACCTTTGAAGGAGCAACAGAGGGAGCTAGGGACAGATCTTGGGCCCCCCTTGAGGTCTGTGTGTGAATGCATGCCTTCACTCCTTCACCAAGCGCTGCACCCCTGTTTTGCACGTGGCAGTATGCTAGGTGCTGGGGATACAACACTGAAGCTGGCGGATGAGGCGCCCGTTCTTATGGAGTAGGGGATTCTCGCCAGAGAGGGGAAGGCATAAGACGCATTTGAACTCAGACCAAAGGAGTTTAGGGGCACGGTGCAGACCCATTCTCCAAAGGTGCTGAGCTCCCTGCTGCTGCCTGCAAACCAGGGCACTGGGAGGGGCCCACTGCCAGCCCAGGCTCTGGAGACCAAGCTCCTGAGTCACAGAATGATAAAACTGCAAAAGACCCTGGAGACACCTAAATCCCATCCATTCATTTGACAGATGAGAAAACTGAAGACCGGAAAGAGGAAAAGACAATCTCCATAGGAAACCAATAAGCTCACTGGTGCTTACTGAAGATCTCCCTGTGTCTGATGGTCTGGCAGGAATCCCACCAGGTGCAGAGTTTCCCCACCCAATCCCCATGCCCCAGGACACCTGGGGTCTCCTCCCAAAGCTGAAGCACCCTTCTGCCACTCAACTCTTCCCTCACCCTCACCCTCACCCTCACCCTCACCCCACCGAAAGGCCTTGGGGAACATGGGTCCTTCATGTGCAGCTCAAGTCTTAAGGCCTGAAGAGCAAGCTGCGGGGGCCTCAGAGACAAGCAACCCCCAGGGAGGAGACGCGGCTGCTGAAGGCATCAGCTTGGGCTGGCACAAGACATCTATTTTCCATGTGTCTGGAGCCAGGCTGAAGCTTCCTGGGGTAATTTTAACCAGTATCCACTCTAGAACAATACCAAAAAAGGTAAGTTACTTACCACCCCAGACAGACACATACCTAACCAGTGCCCTTTCATGAATTATGGAGCCTGAATACATTCACAGCTAAAGCTGCTTTAAGCAGTGAAGTTAGAGCAGCCAAGTATTTCCATACTGGCTGTTGGCCCTCTTATTGAAATTAACTCTAACGTGCCAGCTATTCTTACCCTCGGAAAATAGCCGGAGCCCCTCAGCTGTCCTGGGGGAGGGCGAGTATTTTTAGATCTGAGAGCAGCTGATTTCGGATGTGTTGCAGGGGCTAGGAGGGCAGGGGAAGGATTGAGTTGCAAGGGGCTGCTGGGTGGGTGGGAATTAGAATCGAGGGGGCAAGGAGCCAGGAGAAGCTTCAGGGCAAATCCATCCACACGGCCTTTTTGATCAGCCAAGTGTCTTGATGGAAGCCAGTGGTTCTCGAAGTGTGGTCTCCAGGACAGCTGCAGGAAACGCTGCGCTAGGAAGGCGAGCCTCAGCCCCCACCTCGAACCTACTGACCCTGAATCACTCCGCGCCCCGGCAATCTGGGTTGTAACAAGGCCTCGGGGCGATGCTGGCGCTACCTAAAGTTCGAGGACCACTGATGTCAGCAAACCGTCTAACCAGATCCCCCGGTGGGTAAGGCTGGTTGAAAGAATGATTTGTGTTGATGCTTCTCAACTCCAGTGTTTGTTCAGAGCCAGAGATCCCCAGCCCCCCCAAAATGCATTCCCACGTGAAAATTTCAGGGGCTCGCCGGCCCAGGTTAGAAACCCCTGCTCTTTGGCAACCCAGGGGCTCTCCTCCGGTCTAAGGCTGACCTGCAGAGAAGCTGAGTTGAAAGAGACCTTATTCCACCCAGAGCAGGAATCTGCTCCACAATATTCTTGAGAGGCTCAGCCTTACTTAGCGGGACCGACCCTTCCAGAGAAGGGGAGCTCGCTGCTTCTAAAGAGACTGCAACAGTCCCGGCCTTAACTGGGGAGAGTGAACACCTGGTCACTCCCGCATAGGTCCGTGCCATCCAAGCTCCAACAGCGTGGCTGGAGTAAGGCTTATAAACCCCAATTAAAGGAAGTATGTGACTGTCCTAAATAGTAGGAAGAAATACAGTAATTTTTTAAAATAACCTATTTCAGTGTTGGAGAACTCTGAGTGATAGAAAATCCTCCTTTATATTGATCTGAAATCCACCTCCCTGCAACCTCCTACCCCGACCCTGGTTTTGGCTTCAGAGCCACAAGGAGCAAACCCAAGGTCTTGCTTTAGAAAGACAGCGTTTACTTTTCACTGGCTTTGCGTGGTATAGGGGTGCAGGCCGGGAGGTCTCCAGCTGCCCGCAGGCTCTGGGCCCGAGCGGTTCAGAAGATGCAGGTGCAGCCCACAGCAATGGTCTCCATGACTGCGCGCTGGCGGCAGGGCCCCGTGCGCGGAGGCAGCGGGCAGAGGCGGCGGCGCACAGGCACCTGGCTGAACACGGGCACGCTCACCATGCTGCGGTCCTCCTGCATAGTGAAGGGGTTCACGCAGCCCAGACACAGGCACCGAGCCTCTGGCAGGTCCGCAGGGACGCGGCTGGGGTCGTGGTTGATGCTGCAGGAAGGCCAGAGAGAACAGGACTCAGGGAGGAAATTGGAGCCCACACACCATGCCCCTGCTTTTCCTAAACTGGGTTTTCCTTCCCACAGCAAGACCGTGCTATGCCATAGGGAGGGCAGTAACCACGTTAGGTGAGAAAAAGAATCTTGGAGGACAAGTCAGGTGCCCCAAGGTTATCCAGGTTCAAGGTCACCAATCAGTCACCCAGTTGTCTTCTTTCATTCAAGAAGATCCCTGTCCTAATACTACACGGTGCTATGGGGTCACAAAGAAGCTAAGGACCCTCTGTCTCCCTCACTCCTCCGCCTTACTTATAGTCTTAAGAAATTTAATCCACAAGAAGTAACATAGGATAGGACATTTACACTTAAT